AAAGATCAGCGAGATCACTGCCTCATCTCAATGGGATGGCAATCACGCAGCCAATCAGGGAAAACCGAGCTACAAGAAAAACGGTCTCTTACAAGGGGGTTGGTCAGCTCACACAAATGATGTCAAGCAATGGCTCCTATTTGATCTCATCAACAAGTTTAACAGGGTGGCGCGAATTGCAACACAAGGAAGAAATGCAGCTGATCAGTGGGTGACCAAATACATGCTGCAGTTCCGAGTGATGATGGAGTGCACTTCCAATTTCATCGGGAAGAAGGAAAAGCTACGCACAGGGTGAGTCCAAAGTTTTTACAGTAAGGAACCATAATGCAGAGTTAATGCAGAGTTCATCATTGTAACCTCAAGCGTCACCCACATGACCTCTAATTGATATTTTTAACATCATATATATTTAAACTCCCTTATTGTCTGTCATATATTGTATATTTAACAGCTATTCCACGAAGGTGGGGCTCCTTTTACTGAATAACCCTCAAGACGAAGTCAAGGAGATTATTCAACAATGTTCACTGAACATAATCGTTTTAGTAGAGTTGATCTGATGCTTTCCAATGCTGTTGTAAATTCGTTTTTGTTGTGGAGACCATTCTGTTACAATTGTTATTATTACTCGTATCGAGATAAGTAGCCAGCTTCCACCGGAATTTAAGACGTTTATTTAATTAAATCATAAAAAAACTTCATTTTTTCCTTAAAAAATGGTTACGTCAAACATGGAAGCATATTTTGTGCTCTTCAGAACTGTATTTTGTTCGATGCGTTAACCACTTCCTATCCCACACTGACAAAATGCGGAGCACCCGTTTGAAATTTTAGCGCTCACCTCCCGCGAGGTGACTATTGTGAGATATGACGCAATCCTCGACCAATCAGAGTGCGCGCGTCCCTGAATACACTGGAGCAATTAAACTTAGTAAATCTAGCCAGGATTAGGTTTTGAATCAATAAATTTTTCCTTTTAAACATACATACGTACTTTATTTAAAGTGCCCATAATGTCAAAAAACGTTTTTCGCTCATCTAATTCTACATTTCACCAAATGAACTTCTGCAAACAAAATTTTCGATTCGGATAAAACGCAATTTTTTTTATAATTTTTAAAGACATTCAAATTTGCCGCCATTTTGGTCTGCCATTTGCACCAGTCTTCCTCGGTTTAAAGTGAGTCTTGACGTAGGTTCAGGAACACGTGATTTTGGGTTGTGACATATCTGACTTGAAAACAAGTGGGAATTTGCTTCAGAGTGGTCACGATATCGTAAGCTCACAATATCGTAAACGATCCGCACTCGACCAGTGTATTTATATGCACTTTAAGGTCAAGTGAGGTTCCTGAACCTACGTCACAGACATCAGTCACGTGGTCATTTTGAGCACGTTATTCTTGTGATCAGCGGCAGGGGTCGACCGCAAGAAAATAGAATTTTGAGCTTTTTAAAAAATTCGTAGAAAAAAATCGCGTTTTATCCAAATCGAAAAAACTTTTTCACCGAAGTTCATTTGGTGAAATGTAGAATTAGATGAGCGAAAAACGTTTTTGACATTACGGGCACTTTAAGGTTTCAAAGAATAAACAACACGAATAATAGCCTAAAAAGGAAGTTTAAGAGGTTAACCCTATGTAAATAAACTTCCAATAAAATTTAAAAGTGTATGCTTACGATAAAATCTAAGATGGATAAAAACCTAAGAAATACGCTTGTATAATTTAAGAGCTGTTTTGAAAGGTGTTAAGTTATATATCTCAACGACATTGGCGAACAGGTCATTCCATTCACGAATGATTTAACAAAATAAGAGTATTTATAAAAATTACAGTTCGCCAATTTAACCTGCAGTTTGTAATTGTGGTTGGACCTGGTACGTTTTGAAGCAAACTTAAAAAAATCACAAAAATGACGGCCATTCAGCCCGAATACAAGTTTATAACATTCTACCAAAGAAAAGTATAGCCTTCTATCAGTCAACTTCGACCAATGTAACATTTCACAACGATCTTCCTATGACATCTCACCCCTTCGCTGACCTAAAGCCAATCGAGAGGCTCTTCTCTGAACTTTCTCCAAGAGAACAATATTTTTAACTAGGTAAGGGCACCATACTGGGGAAGCGTACTCAAGGATTGGTCTCACAAGAGTCTTGTACAATGTGGAAAAGATTTCCTTGGTTACAGAACCGACTTTTCGTTTGTATAGTATTAAATATATTAATCAATAGTTTCACTAGCAACCTTTGTGGCTTCCTTTGCTGTTGATGTATGGGATCCCATGAAAATGGGTTCCCACTCCACTGATGAACTAAGATGTCACTTGAACCTCAGAATACTCAAACAAATATACTATGCTTTAATGTATCCATTTCTAAGTTATGGTATAATAGTATGGGGCTGTGCTTGTAAAACTAAATTGAATTACCTTCAAGTTAATCAGAACGAATGCCTCCGAATGATCTTCTTTGCACATACTAGGGAGTGTCCTGATCCATACTATAAACTCATAGAAATTCTTAAATTAGAAAACATATATAAACTCAAAATGTGCTACTTTATACATAAAACTGTGAATAAAGCTGATAGCATTCCAGATATTATCTCTGATGTACTAACCCCAGCATCTAGCATACATAGATATAATCCAAGATTCACAAATGAATTCAATATTTTTAGAATGCAAATATCAACTTATTCTGGCAAAATGTCTTTCAAGTATGCTGGACCCAAGATATGGGAATCTGTGCCGCTTGAAATTAGGCGTCTCTCTTTTACTTCCTTTAAAAAAGAATGGAAGCGTCATCTCTTACTTGGTCAAAGTTGAATTCACTACTGGCTTGATGCTAGATAAAATAACTTAGTTCTCTTGCTCCTAAACTGTAGGAATTACTTAATTATTTACTTATTTCTCTTTTCTCTTTGTTTACAATGTTAATAGTGTATAAACACCTTGGTTAGTGTAAATATAGAATTAAAGTAAAGTAAGGGCCTGATTACATGAGCCGGGCTGGCCCTGTTAGCCGGGTTGATTTCTTTTGTTTTGGTGTTCGCCAAAGCGTGAAAACAAAAGAAATCAGCCCGGCTAACCGGGCCAGCTCGGCTCATGTAATCAGGCCCTAAGTCTTTGTAAATGTTCCGATACACCAGTTAATTACACGTGACAGTGGCAAACTCGAAAGCTTACGCTCCTTTGGTCACTGTGCACATTTTACTTTAGATAATTCATATAATTTACTGTTCTTATATATTCTGACTTTTTCAATCCATAGCAATCTCTACTGTAACCTCTCGAAATAATGCGAATAAGAATATTAATGAATGAATGAATGAATGAGTTACCGCCCGAACCGAGCGATTGGCTCGCGCGAGAACGCTTTCCCTTCTACCTCCCCTACTAAGCAGAATATTTTCCCCCAAACTTCCTCTATAACTTGGAGATCAATAAACAAATCAGAATCCGTCGTTTACGGATACATTTGATGGCTTTCAAAGGTACTAGAGGGGCATCATTCCGTGCATTCATACTAAATGATCAAATTTGAAAATATGGCGTCCGCGCGGCCGAGCTTCAAAATTTTCAAGTCGTATTTTTCGTTCCTTTGCGATCGAGTTAGACCTTGTGGAACTCAGAATATAAAGTAACAATGCTATAGAATACTCTCCTTGAAAAATAAGGGATATCAAGGTCTTAAAGGTGACAGAATAAGCTCTCGAGTCAACGACAGTACGATTCTCTAAAGGACCATAGTTAATCGAGGGTTAACTATGAAAGGACCTAATTACAAACCGAACCTTCGGACTTCAAGCAGGGCTTAGCGACAATTTGATAATTCAATGGCCCGGTGAAAATCGAGTAACAATATGTTCAAAAAGTATACCTTAACAGAATTTTTTGTGTTAAATCGTAGTTTTTCAGAATTTTCAACAAAACGCTACGCAATTTTCTGGCCGTGAGGTCAAGTAAACAACGATCTAAACATTATGAATTTTGCCGCGTTGGCTTTGTACACGTAAGAAATTTGTACGTTTTGTGCTTATAACGGCAAGTCAAGAGCCGTTTAGAATAAAACTGTCCTCCCGAAATATTTCTTGGTCATTTTCCTCTTGCTTCCTATTGACAGATTTCATGAAAGACCATGAAACTTGAGATCTCTTCGCTCACGGACAAATTTGCATTTTCCTTCTGAAATATGACCCGCGTGCCTGTTTGCACACATACGAAAATATTAATATTCAGCGATTTTTATTTTTCATCTTCATTTTTGAGTAAAAACTTAATACGCACCTATCGCTTAACTTCCTTTCTTTGTTTTCCTTTTTTCTTTTTCGGACACAATAGTCATTTCCCTGGATATATGCATTCAAAAATAGACGTATTGACGCCATAAATGAAATATACATTGCAAGAGACAAAATATTATTCGGAGATTGGGCAAACTTTAATTAACGGATAAAAAACGTATAGTTTTAAACTCTTTTAAGATTATCTTGGCTTCTTTTTCACCCCACCACTATTCTTAGCAACAGGGGTTGCCATTTCGTTTGTTTGTTACTCGCAAAAAACTATCAAATGCACTAAAAAGCCTAAAATGGAAAAAAAAGTTTACAGGAATTGACCAATCAAGCGAGCGAGCGAGTGCCATTCTTCACATTCTATCTACAACACGTTCTTGCGCATGCGCGCAATTCACGAGTTAAAATGATCCTGAAAGATCAAGACACTTGTTATTGTAAGCGTTTTTTTTTTTTTTTTCTGTGAGCTCACTTCGGTGTTACACTTAAAGTTTTTTTTAAATATTTCTCGCGGATGATTTTACAATTAACAGCTAAAATTCGTGTCCAGACTTAAAAAAAAAAAAACGCTACTAAAAGTCCCATTATGAAATAAACCTTTTATTATCTATATTGGAGACAAAAAATATTGATTACTTAAAATAGGTATGTGGGGTGGTCTGCTCTCCTCATCTCAATCAATTGTAGGACAACATGAACAGATTAAATCTACTTTAATTGAAGGGGCTACGCCATATCGTTGAAATAAACTTGGTTGATTAAAGAGATCAAGAAACAAGCAGGCAAACAAACAGAATTATGACTCATAAATTCTGAACCACGTAGGCAACATTGATTGTCATAGCAAGTTAGAAGAGGTAAGATTGTGCGTCACAGCCACTTCATTCAATGCTGTTCCGGCGTGTTATTGGTGCGTCTATGAAAGGCGAGACTGTGCCTTGTAGGAGCTTTGCTTATTAGGGGAGATCGTCTGCCTCAAGTTCCCCATTTTGAACATGTTGTGGTCTAAAGCGAATCTTCTCGCTTGAGTTGACTGTCGGGGACTTTCCTCCACGGGGGCACTTTGTGATTCGCAACATCGGGACGCGGACATTTCCAAGAACACACATCTTAGCATTCTGGTCACATCTGCAAAATTAGGAGTAAAAGAGAAGGAAAAGTGTGGGTCAGTGAAGGAGGGCAGTGTAAAGAAGACTGCTACTTTCTCTGATAGACAAACCGGGACATCAGGCCTTTGTCCAATTAACTGCATGACTCATAGACCGACAGAAACGAAGCAAACCACTCGAGTGAAATATTTTGTTTTGGACAGAGAGATGTACAAACCAGAGAAAATTACATATCTTAAAAGGAAATACACATGTTATGTGGACAGAGTTAGAAAGCTGCGACTCGCTTTTACCTGTATCCAGAGGGACAGCAAAGATTGTGGTCCGAGCAGCAAGTTGCATTCGTATAAGGACAGCAACCTTGGCGTCCATCGGAGCAGATGACGATCCCTGTATCAACAGTATTCTTTTCTACCTTAGTTTTCTGCAAGATACCTGCCCTAGTACACCCTGTTTCGGGAAGACACCTGAATCCTCTCGGACAGCAATGCCTAAGGTCGTCGCAGCAAATACCATATTTATAATCACAGCATACATACCACCTGAATAGTGTGCTCGTAAGACAACATGGATGACCATCCTGGCAATGCGATCCATCGGGGCAAGTTACCACTGAACTATTTACTAATGCAGTGTCCCGCTACAAAAGAAATGCACAAGTTGGTCGTTCACGGACAAATTTTACTGCTTATAACATACTCAACAAAACATACAGGCGACTCCCGCTATTTCGGACATCCCAAGGATGTAGATTTAGTGTCCGTAATAGCGATAGTTCGTAATAGTGGGGTACGAAAGAAAAAAAATGTTTTGTCTTCAAACAAATTAAATAATTTGTACCTACGCAAACATAAAGTTTCTAACGTGACCTCACGAACAAGAAAAAGATCCGGCCGCAAGAAGGAAATTGTCATGTTCACACCCAATTGAAGAATGGTTACTTTGTTTTCCTTTATTGAAATGTCGATGATAATTTATCAATTCTTTATTTCGCAAGAATATTTGGGAAAAAAATCAATCATGTAGGTACACAGATACTAGTTCTAACAATATTTGCAGCAAAGAAAAGACATATCGTACGATTAATGAATCTCTATGGTATAGACAAAAAATATCAAAAAAACAACTCAGAAATGTAAACATACTGAAGTCAATGTTAATGGCATCTTCAGGTCGGCCAGTGTTTTCCCTGTGAGTTCTTCAGCACAGGAGATAGTCACCACATAGCTGATGAGTAGTGCTAAAGGTGAAATAACAGACCGCTTCATCTGCTCAATGAAAAAAACAATTTTTTCACCATACAGCATCCAGATTTTATCCTTTTTAATCATGCGAAAAAAAAGTGCTAAATTACGCTTTAAGGAGCTGACTAGAAGAGATGGCTTCAGTTGCGGCCCCAAGAACAAACACATCAAATATCGGTTTCGCTCACCAAAACAAAAAAAACCTGATCACAAATGGATGGCAAGAAGTTATCCTACTATTTCAAAGAATTTGAATTAGCTTGATGCAGTGGCCTACTTGGCCTCTTTTTGAGCACTTAACTGTAATTATAGTAGTTTGGTTTGGTGTTCAGTGTGGTGAAGCTTAGTCAGGTGTAATTTATGTGGATCAACTTAGATGTTGTAGTCGCAGGAGTTAATTTAAGTTCAAAACTATCGATCATACTTCTTGCAGACATACAGGTCCTTTTATGTCGTAACTTATTCCCGTTTCAATAACAAGTGAAAGGTATAATTACTCTTAGTGGAAGGGATGGAATTATAACGAAAGAACTTACCTGCTCAGTTCCGTGCATCGTAGAAGAAAATCGTAGGTAAGCAAATCGCTCATTATTATGGAAGGTATTCCGTAGAAACCCGAACCTCTGAGCTGGCGAGAACACTCTCGACTACTCCTCACGATAAACTGACTCAGCGCTTGAGACTTATCATTAATTATCTTATCTTACTTATTAATACCAGCTCTGAGCTAGTAAGAACACTCTCGACTACTCGTGATAATAAAATGACTTGGTGCATGTGATTTTCATTCATTTCGAAACTTCACTCATTTGAAAACAAATTTTTCCAGCGCTCGTTCATCCCAGCAACGGGTAGACTAGCGAACAACAACTTAGTGTAAATATACGGACATGATTTAGCACAGTAGTTTCATCAGTTTCTAGCTTTTTAACCTGTACTATAGCAATTTCATACATTTTCTGTATTTATTATAAAATGTTATGTACTTCAGCCAATTGGCTGCAATATGATCTCTAAATAGAAATCTCTCTATTTATCTTCTAGAGTTTAAGGTTATGAAATTAATTGATTTCATTCTGTTTATTCACTCCTTATTGCTGATGTTTTTAACACATCTTTTTTCCATATTTACTAGAGTATTTTGATAGAAAAGATTTCAGAAAATTTTGTCTACTCGGAAAGAAAAACGCATTCTCAATGCTTCTAACAGACGTGTCCTGACAAGACGGCAGAAATTTTATTGAGTATGGTACGTATGACCGAAATTATTGGGAACTCTGAACTTTTCAAAGGACAAACGACAGATTCAAAGAGAACAGCATGCCAATATCAATAGTTTCATACCCAGTAAGAACTTAAAAATCAATCACAAAAAGTCACGAGTCCCGTCATTTTCTTGTGGAGTCTTCTATGACATATCTTTGACAGTCACAAGTTACCAACCTGATCACATGTTAAACATGAGAATTAAGGAGATGACTTTTTCATGTTACCAACAGTCTTTTGTTTTGTTTTTTTTTTGTTTGTTCTCAACTAAATTATCATTATCACTGTAAACAGGGTTCAGCTTATAGGCAATAATTTCTTGGTCTTTCTGACAAAGGTTGATTTCTTTCATTTTGTTACACATTAACTGATTTCTTTCAGTGCATTCTGATAATTTGGTTCTCCGGGTAAATAAGTAATTCTAGGCCTATCTCGCTTCCAAATATTACGCAATAACTTTGGCTGTAGTGATACCCGATAATTCTATCATTAACACCATAGTCAGGTTTTTTTTTTTAACATATTTTTCTTTTGGTTAATATCACAATCTTTTTTGTCACCTTACTGTTCTGTTTTCCTTCGACTCACAAAATATTTTTCTCGGCTTTTGATTCACGCAGCGAACATTGAAGCATTCTTGGAAACAATTATGATGTTATTCCTCAGAGCTCCTACTAAACAATCGTCCGGGAATAATCCTCCCTCCAGAATCGACTTCGAAGTATTTAATTGACGCCTAATCATTATATAAGAGAAAAATCGAGTTTTCCAGATGGGATTTGGACCCACGACCCTCCGTGATCTAGTCGGATGCTCTAACCACTGAGCTACAGGAGACTCTGTGGTGAGCAAGGGTCAATTAGTGGGTATTAGCTCTTGTTAATGATCAATCGCTTTACGAACGCATGTTTTTGCATCAGTCAAGAAGATTGTACAAGATTTTCCCTCTAGGTCTTTAATATTTTGCATGGCATTTCCGATGAAGTTAGAAACTCTTGTTCTTATGTTTGCGCTTTGATTGCTTCGAACAGTAAAAAAAGTTACCGAAACTTCCACCTTTTATGAGTCAGGAATAAACAAAAGTTTAATATTTTTTTATCATAAGGATTTAAGGCTTCCAGATGGAGATGCTCATGATTGGGCTTGTTTCTTTCTGGTATCGTGGTCCAGGGAAGCGGCAGAAGGCCCGGTAAAAAAGGAAATACTAGTACTAGAAACTACCAGTACTACAGAGAGAGAGGACAAAATATGAACAAGGTAAGAATGAATAGGAATGAAAATCAACACGAGGGTGTGAACTCTCGAGGATTTCGGCAGCCAAGTTCTTTTCGTGTCTTCCGATTCATCAATGTGTCAGCAGTCTTCTTTCATTTTCAAGTGATATTACTGACACCGACTCTTTGACACTAATGAAATAAACTAAAAAAGAGACATTAGTCCGACTTCTCAAGCTGTCTATCCGTTTTTATATTCCCCACCCTTGTTTATAATTCCTTGGTTCTCTTCTATTTCTCTGAAACGCTGATTTTGGAAATAATTTAACATTTTCGACGCTTATGCTTATAATTGACATCTCTACTATTGTAATCTTTAGGGAAGCTCGATCCGATAGCCTTGCTTTCATTCACGCTAATATAGGCAACCGCTGCCCAACTAAACCAAGCACGAAAAACTGGAATAAGAGCTATTCGATTACAGGAATAATCAAACTTCCTTGAAGCTGAAACTCCAAGCTTCCTTAACCTATACCAAGCTCTCACGTCTTCTCTACTGAGTCTTCTCGTTATCAAAAAAAAAAAATAAATAAATAACTTTTATCTATCTTTAATATTTCTTCATCATTCGCTGCCTCAACAAATCAGAAAACAGATAAAGCGCCCTAGCATTGGATTTTTATGAACTGTTTAAAATTTCAGATTCGAACAAACGGCAATGACAGTCGTTTGCCAAAACGTTCTCAAATAATTTCTCACACAGCCGGCACTTTCCCTTTGCAGGAAGTGACTGGAAACACTGACAGAGATACAGCTGTTTATCACGAGTTAAAGCCACCAATCACAGCACGTTATATTCGTTTACAACCTGTGGCGTGGCATCGCCATATATCCATGAGGATAGAGATTTCTGGGTGTGAAGATGATGTCATTCACATGTAAATTAACCCTTTAAAACCGAACAACAATATGCATATTCTCCAAACTCTACTCTAGACATTTCCTACGGCGCTAACAAAAAACTCGTTTATCATTTAAAAGTTAATTAGTGATCATTTCCTTTTGTGACGTCATGTTCATATTTGATTCAAGGGAGATTTAGTAAGAAGTTAGATGTTATTCATTATTATTGGTTAGAATGTTAACGAAAAAATAGGTAATAACCGCTCCATTAGAAGTCCTTCACAGTTTTAAAGATCCACACCGAATTTCAAAATACTGGACAACAGCCTCATTTAGTTAAAAAGCATACCTTTTTTGAAAAACGTGTGTGCTTGACGTGTCTGCTTCTAAGGTAAGTCAAAAGTTGCACTTTACTTTGTAAACAGTCGCAGCTTCTAAAATTATTCTCTGACTAAAATTCATCATATTCTGCAATAAATGACCTCAAAGTTATCATTTTTATTTCGAAATTTTTACATCTATAGCATGCAAAAAAGCTCTCGGAATGCAAAACCGTGAAATCCGTGACTGGCAGATCACCTCTTCACCGTAGTGGGACGCAAATCATGCTGCCGCCCAGGGAAGACTCTTCTTCCAGGCAGCTGGTAACAAACAAAGAGATTGGTCAGCAAGAACAAATGCTAGCAACCAGTGGCTCTAAATAAATTTAGGATTTAACGGCAACATGGGGACTCGTGTTGCGACACAAGGAAGAAAAACGTACAGCCAGTGGGTTACAAAGTACATGTGCAGTTCAGCGATGACGGGTCACATTTTCACTTTTACAAAGAACAAGGCCAGTTACAAAATAAAGTAAACCTTGACCTTTTTTTTTTTTATCAGAGTTGTAGACTCCAGAGGACCTCATTAGTCCGCCTATTCGACCGTAAGGAAGTTCCTCTCTGGGTAAGTCTCCTTGTATCCTTGAGCAGAAGAACCAACGAAAAGGAAAAATTGAGATAAGCTGTTTGATCATACAATAGCCCAACGCATAAAAAAGAAATTAGACTACTATAATTTCGTCGTGTGCTTGAAAACCAGAGAAGAGTTCATTTGTTGCAAGAACTCAGAAAAACACTTTAGTAGCAAACCTCATCAGTCAATAGATAAATGTTTCACTTTAATACTTCTACAAGACATGACGTATCTAAAAACCCTACACATTTTAAGCCTGCTTTCTTTGTTACTTTTATTTTTTGATTTAAAACTAATCAGGAATTTATAAGAAACACCGACCCAGACACTGTTGTTTCCCATTCCCCGAATCCTCCAATAAGGGCGCATTACAGTCGTTTCCGCCCAAGAGCCTGGTACGGTCACATATCTATGAGGGTTGAACTCCAGGGCCGTAGCTAGCATTTTGGCCTTTTTAAATTTTTTTCTTAAAGATTGACTTTTCTGAAGAAAAATGCCACGGAAAATCCTTAAAAGAGCATTTCTAACTAGATTTCAAAGTTTTCTGAGGGGCACGCCCCCAGACCCCTCTAACGGCTCGCACCTTCGGCGCTCGAAACTTGCCTCGTGTTGTCATGAAATCTGGCTACAGCCCTGAACTCTATGGCTGCAGATCAGGTATTGTCAAAGAAATTCACTCAGTAAAGCCTTTCTTTGAAGCCACCTTGCTAGACTTGCAATGCTTGAAAAGTTGATTTCACCGAACATATTTGACAGGATATTTTGAGAGGTGGGTCAAAAATGCAATTGACAAACAAAACAATGAAGCTTTTAAATTTATCCGTCAATTGGGTTGTATATGTTCTAATGATTGAATGCTGTTGGTACTCTCTTGTTGTATGTTATGTTATTATTGAATAATTATGCTCAGTAGCTAACAGACATGTTTTGCTACAATATACTGATAGGAATAATCATCCGCTTCAGACGAATTTTCACGAAAATTTCTAGGAATTTTGTAACTCCCGAAAACCACAAATGGGATTCCGTTGTAAGGTTTTATTTCAGATGCATATTTATTTATATATTAATTATTTATTTATTATTTATTTATTATTTATTTATTATTTATTTATTATTTATTTATTATTTATTTATTATTTATTATTTATTATTTATTTATTATTTATTTATTTATTTATTTATTTATTTATTTATTTATTCAAGGATTTCTTCCAAGTAATGGAGCAGAAACAATAGGACAAGAGTCCCCTACGAGGTTCAAACTCCAACAAACCCACCCATCCCATCCCAGGGGAGGACATCCATCACACAGTAATCTTGTGGGTGGGAAATTAACGTCTCCAACCCCAACCTTGCAGGAGACGCGACCTCCATTTATTCGTCCCTATCCGAGAAAACTAGAATATCTAACCATTTCTTGATGTTATAGAAAGGTAGCATATTCTTCTCAATTATTTTAAGACCTTGAGTGTTGGTCCGGCCGAGGCTCGAACCCTCGACCTCCCGCACAACAGTCCAGCGCTCTATCCATTGAGCTAACCGGGAGGCGGTTACTGAATTAGGCGGAATAGTGAATAAATGAGTATGACGACTTTACTCAGTTAAAGGAAAAGCGAGCCACGTTTAGGTGGCTTCAAACTACGTGTAAGCATTGCCGATGACTGTACTCTGAATGAATAAATTGCCACCTACAACTAAATGCACAATTGGAATCTGTCTAGTAAACTAAATTTTGAGCTGAAATTTTGACCGACAAGAAAACGTTTCTTTAGGTAAGTCAATAAATTATATTTTTTTAAAGAGAAAACCCTTTTTACTGATGAAAAAGCCCTTTTTTCAATACAGCAATTGATTTTCAGTGCAAACCGAGACTATTAATCCCAAAGTCTATGACCTCTACAAACTGAGGAATTATAATAAAAATTAACATGCGTCCATAATGAGGCAAACTTGGGTTTGGAGCGTTCAATCTTACACAAGAAGAACTTAATAACGGCAAGGCAGGACACGCGTTTCTTCGCCCGTGAGGAGACTTGAGACGAGTCGGGGAGAGTTTTTCTGGGGGTCTGGCACAAGTGCTAGAACTCCTGCTTGCCTCTCATCAAATCGTGCCTCATTTTTTCCTGCGGGCGAACCACTCGTGCTGAATCACAAATTACAAGGGTCTTCTCACGGGCTACTAAGAATCTTTTCGGCGACTTATTTAAGTAGAAATGTCTGAGAAACAGAGGGGGAATCTCGATTTGAGCGCTATGGGTACGCGATAGGGTTGCCACGCCAATACGAGCTGGCGATAATAGAGACTTGTATACTACTTTGAGAAGAAGTTTCTAGCTCTGAAGAACGCTGAAAGGTTATACTAGCATTTTTTGAAACTGTATTCCACTTCATTGGATTAAAATCCCACCGATCAGATCCATTGCTCTCTTTTAAAGGTTGTCGGGGAAAGGTCGTCACAAACGAAAAATACAAAATTACATAACTCTGAGCTCGTCGAAGGACTGATAAATACCAGATATTTTGCAGTCAGGCGTGATGTAGTATCTTGTTTTAATAAACATATTTCATAATTTACCACGATAATCCATGTAAATAATAATCGGGTACAAGTGCTCAGTAAATAAGATTTTGATTCCTTTTCCATTCTTAAAAGCAAAACGATGTCCTTAAAAATTCTGTTCTCTCGCAACAAAGAAAATTGGTTTATTTTTCGATAAATCAAGCGCAAAAAAAAAAAAACTGGCCTTAACTTCAGAAAATTCAGAGCGGAAATTCTTATATCTTATGAATTCCTTAATTAACTTAGTCTTGACAGGTATAAAACTTTGAATTCTGTACGACAAATATTTGCACGTTCGAACGAAATAAAATATTGCATAACAAGTATATAATTCCAGATTTGACTACAATAATTGAGACAAAGTATTTCAAACTTTTTCTCATATGTAATCAGTCGTTAAACGACCGGAAATTAACTGCATCATGTATATTCTTTGCTCCAAACCTACGCTTTAGAATGTCACGTCCTTTGGAAAGGAACCAAACCGTAGTAATTTCATACCCGCCCACCTCCAAATCTATGTACGTGAAAAAGTAAAAAAAAAAAAAAAAAAAAAAAAAAAAACCGAAAGCCGCTCTACCGAGACGGCTAGATTTTCGGAATCTTGCGTCCACATATCTCCAAAATTTCGATGTGCTACTTTGGAAGGTTAATGAGCCAGCCAAATAAACAGAAGCCAACATTACGTCAGTTCAGTTTTGTAAGTAACAAACATTAGGTTTATGAAATCATAGTCTTGCGAAATTCGTGTTTCTTGTTTGTCTTGTTTTGTCAGTGTTTTTCACCGCAGTACAGTGCGCCATTTATTTATAACTGAAGGAAAACTGCTCAGAAAGATACAAACATTCCTGTTTCTTGTTTGTCATTACAGGGTGCCTTTATTTACAACTGAAGGCAAAATTCTCCTCAAGAAAGCACGTTTCTTGAAGCTTTGTAAAACTTTCGCTCGCTGAAAGGGCTAAGTGGAAACTGAATGATCCCACTCAGTTTAGTGGTGCATTAAAAGCACATGCGAAAAGAAAGGTAGACAGTTTTAATCGAACAACTGTAAAAGTAGGTTCGGAACACGTTTCCCAACAAAATATGACACTAGCACATCGAATCAAAGTTCGGCAGCAGGCACTTTAACAGCTGAATTAAAAAATAATTTTTCGCACCGAAGACACCGAACACATCCAGAATTCAAAGACTTCTTTGTGTAATTTATGTTGGAGCTGAAAATGGGAATTTCTTTTGATAGAACTTCTCACTCAGTCGTCTCAATTGCCAATTCTTTTAACGAGAAATTCTTCCAGGAATCCTCTTCGCTTCACCCTCGATTGTTTTTGTCAATCCTTGAGAGCAGCCGGTGACTTAAGGTTCTTTCTTAGACAAAGTAGAGAAACTGAAACTGGAAGTGCTGGAAAGTTCGTCTGATAATAGAGGTAATTATCCTACAGTGAGATTACCGTTTCCCCCAATCCTGTTTGTTAGCCGTGCTCTGTTTTCTCTTGTTGTTTTTATTTCATATTCCACAAACCGCTGCTCCGAATAAGCCAGCCTTCGGATCACGACAAACTAAACCTATTCTGGACCCTCAAATCAAATCAAAGCCTCCTTTACGATGACTGTACTACAAACTATTGCATCTTTAGCAGGATACAGACGTTTTACACAAGAATATGTATGCATAATACAATGATTGAAGTACATGGATATGGGCAAAAAGGCATGTAGTATGTCAAGAGTAGGCAGTAAATTAGAATAGTCCAATTTATAGTCCATAGTTTGCCGAAGCATGATTAAATTAAGGCAAATCAACCCATGCAGTTAAACTCAAGACCATGCAAATGCGCTAATGATTGATCGCACTTTTAGGTCTCAACCAGAAGTTAAGAGATCTTCAGCCATCTTGGAAATCTTGTAAAAGCATCTTGATCAAATTATCAGCATATAAACGTACTTCTCACACGTACTAAGGTTTCAATTACATATTTGAGGCTAAACTGCAATTACGTTGCCCTGAAAGCACAGAAAAAAAAAGAAACACATAACCAAAGTCCTTTTTGCCAGTTCTTTAGTATATTCGTATGATTTTGTACTTGTGATCGCTTGTAAAACCGTAGACCACTCTGTCTTTCTTTAAAATTCAATATGAGAAAGTAGACGAAGGGACTCGTCATTTTGGGGGCAAGATAAAAATAGCATAAACAGCATTGCCTCTCTATGCTTGAAGCCGACGCTTATTTCCGGAGATTCTAAGCTTAAAAGAGAACAACTTGGTATAATGTAATTAATTTTAATTTAACCTTAATCTTTGTCGGTTTTGCAAGTTTCGTCTCTTTTTTCATTAAGTGACCGCATCTTTTACAATTTATTCGATTTAATTTGAATTATTTCCAAAATAGCTACTATATTTACGCAAAGCACGCGCGAGGCGGCTTGTTGACAATTGATCAGTGCGCCGCGGAAACAGTTTATTTAGTAAGTATAAATAAAATGAAATTCAATAACCCGTAATTATTTCAATGAATATTTCAATGAATGTGGACGTGTATTTATTTCTTTTGTTTACCTTGTTCGGTGGGAATGTTAAGGGAGGTCTGTTCTGCTGCCCTATGGCGGTGTTTCGGAAACCCGCAATTCAGCATAATTAGACAGTCATGCAGATAATTAAGTTACATGCTTTACATTTGTCGCAGTTTTTTATCAGCTGTTTTAAGGAAAGCACGTCCGATTTCGGTTTTCTCATAAATTCGCTTCTCCTACTTAGTATCTAATTATACAGTTAATGCTTCTCTCTGACGGCAATCAACTTCGATAATGCTAGGGCATGATAAAGTGAAAAACAGCGGGAAACAAAATCCGTTGGCTTTGTCAGCCCGGCCAAAACCGCCTGCTTACAGCAATGAAAGGCGTCACTATAACTGTTTTTCGCTCTCCCTCTCTCTCTATTTGTTTAGAGGAATTTTTTTGCGGTTACAATAGTGAGCCTGGGAGAAAATATCAAATTTAGTGTGAAGTACCTATAATTGCCATAGACGACAAACGAGAAATTTCCTAATCAATCGTTATGTGGCTATTTTGCCCAGTGTTTTAACTTACAAAAATTAACCCAAGTCAAACGAAACCTCCTTATGCTTTTGTATGCACGTATTTTAGGTGATAAACGCTAACTTCAAGATTTTCCGACATCCAAATTGATTTAGAGCGATCTAAAACCGCAGGTTAATTATTCAAAGGAGCACTACCTATTTGCAATATTGGAAACACGCATTCAGCCTCTCAAAGTTTCGCTTCGTACTATGATTGTAACACTACACGGTCAGGTCATTTCCAGTTTTCATTTCTATGGTGCGTCGGAAGAGTTCACTCTTGTCACGATCCCTGTCACATTGAGGCAATAAACATTGATCACTCTGAAGCTAAGAAAAATGGACATTTCTCAGCAGTTTTTGATTACTTATGGGCGTTTCTCAAGGTTTGGAGAAAGACTTGATCCTATTTTATTATTGTGGAAAAATCATGGAATCTCTAGATTTGACTTACTGATAATTGTCAGTTAAGATTATTTAAAATGGTGGTTTTCGGGTATGTTAACTATTTCAGAACTTTTTTTTGTTCACACGCTCGCGAATTCGAAAACATAAAATTCACGTGATGGAGGATGGGCTTCCCGATCAGTGTCTAACCAATTCTCCACCATTCGAAAAGCGAGTGGAACACTTTGCCATCTTTCTCGCTCCACACAGGGGCTTCTTTCGACATTGCGACGTAAGCAGTCATCAGAACGCCTTTCATGTGGTCCCTATACCCTTGCCCATGCTTACCAAAGAGTTTGATTGCCGGAGTATCCGACCACATGCATGAATTGGAAAAATTAGAGTTTCGAATCCCTTTATCTTAGCCTCGTAAAAACGTTAATCATCTTTTGACAGATTTGTTAAAAAGGAGTATGGCCCGGTAATGAGAAAAACACTTACTACAGCTTGAGATGAAGGCTAAACCATTTCACCGCATCAAATTGTTTTCAAAGGTCATGCAAGCTTTGACTAGTATAACGGAATATCCCGACACATAATCATGATATTAACGTTCTCTGTAGACTTGGTAGCTTATCTTTACTTTTTGTGCAAATTCTTACTGCTCTCTTAAGTAAGGATCCCCGTGAGTTTTGGGAACTCGCAAAAAAATAATCTCCCAGTCGTGCGAGTTTTTACTCGTCTGGACAAACGGAAAATGTTTTGCAAACTAGACACTCAAGACAATATCTTTTCGATAAACACGAAGGAGTTCGTCTTTACTGACACTTTGGTGTTGAGGATCAGATGGAGTGTTATTTTCATTATTTTTTTATAACCAAAACTGAGTTAACTCAGACTTAGTTCGAACTATACACCGAATGCAAATATGGCGTCCAATTAGAATTGCCATTGTTCTGGACTCACTAGCCTCGTCTTCATGTGGAAACACAAAAGGATTATTACATGTGTGAGAGGCTTATGTACCTAAATTGTTACCACCTACGTCAGTCGATCACCGGGCCTAACGGCCCAAGGAAGGACACAGATTCGATTTATAACTTTAATCAACAGTCACAGGTTTTACAAGATCTTCGCGCGACCACGGTCAAAGGCCAACTTAACTCACATGGCTTTGATTGACAACTAATTGGGTGTGTATTTTCCGGCTAATGTGTGCCCCAGTCCCCGACGAAATAACCTGCCGGTAATTTAGCGAGTGAGGTACATCTCTATTATGTTATCAGTATGGGAGGAGTGACGAACTAGTTTTTACATTTCTTTTTTCTGAGTAAAGTTTAGTGTTCTCTACAGTATCCTATCAGTACAATTCCGTGCGCAGCGTGTTTTCAAAACGGTTCAACGATTCTACAAGAAAATATTGTTAGACAGTTCAGCGTGTTTAGACTCATCTGGCCAGTCCTCGTCTGCACGACCCCATGACGCAAAGTCATCTATAATCATTATCAGCAATAAGTACGACTTATGAAGCTTCAGAAAAAAGACAATATGATCACGAAAGACAGTGCAACTGATATTTTCTAGAAGGAACTAACGAAAAATATTTTTTTGGAAATGAAAACCTTGGGATGCCAAAGAATAGCAAACTTAAATAAACTTTAAACGGAATATCAAATAAACAAGTTTTTTCTTTAGTCTATATTTACATTGTTTACATCGGCTAACATTCTCTAGTATCCAAGTACTCTAACTGCTATAAGTGCAGTTTTATATTTCTACTTTAATCTAAGGCGAACTGCGATAAGGCAGGGGCTAATTAGCCCCAATAAAACCAAATGCTATTCCGCATAAGCCGTTTGCATCCAATATTACTTCAGGGAACTCTTGAATATTGAGACAAGAGAATCTTCTTGTAACTCAGACTATTTGACGTAACATAAGTACCGTTTTATAAACGTTAAGAGTACGGCTTCCTTGCAAAGGACGTACGTATCTTCTATGAGAAAGAGAAAACCTTCATTCCCGCTCGCCGTAACCTAAGCATATGGTTATGTACTGTGACTTGTGAGAAACTCTTGAAAAGACGAATTTCTCTTTTAAAATAAGTCCGGCTAATTGAACTATACTAGGATAACACTGGGTATGTTTATATACGATACATTTCACTTCATATTTCTGGCAGTTCGCCAACTTGCTCTTAACATGACTGACAAAAGGAGACTGGCTGCCCCGCGCCATTTTGGAGCAGTGTCTGAGAAGCTTCGAGTGGCTCTCTAGAGTAACACTCTAAAACAATGTAAAAGTTCTTGTTATTTACAGAGACATTAAGACTATTAACTTTTAACGCAGCCGCCAACACCTTTAAGTTGTTTTCGTCTGGGTGACAAATAGCTATACTCTTCTGTGTCGAGAACACTCAAACCCTTTCGCAAGGGAAGACATACTGTAACTTCAATATATAGGTGTGCCTGCGTCTTACATGCCAAACTTGCTCGTGGTATTTGCGTAGCTTAGAAGAAAACGTCGCAAATTGCGCACGTTTTTAATGGTTGAGTGACATTTTTCCGCCTTAAGGCAGAATTACGCGCTAAAATATCCTTGTTTCTGACAATTAATACCTAATCACAAATATTTGTCCTTTTTATCGTAAACAACTCAATATAAATCGTCACAGAGTTAAAAACAAATCTAACGGCTATTCTAAGATACATAAATTACATTCCTTGCGGGCCTACAAACCACATACTTACGCATCTTGCATGCTTAGGCATCTTACACCGTAAAATTGCGAACTAATGATGACTTCAACACAGCGGATATATACCTGTGCTGTGCCCTACCGAAAAGGTTTTTACAGCATTATTTTGTTTCGGAATGAATTTTCTATCTGGCTAGCTTAGTTTTACCCTTTCTTTTGATTTATACTTTACTTATACTACTAAAAAAAATTAAACTCTTTTTACTTTGTACAGTAGAAAATTTTTGTGTGACTATACCAGACACTTGTTAAAACTTACTTTGCGTGATCAATATGGAGGGCTTCATCAATGATATTCGCTTGACCGTGCGAAATATTTTGACAGAAAGAAAATACATTCTGACTGCTTTTTTTTTCTCAACTAGTGAAGCATTTTATGCAAGTACAACTGACACTTAATTGTAAAAAGGAAACTCTCAAGTCGATCCTTTTAGTTTAGACTGTCAATAAATATATAAGGCATCCCAAAGATCTATCTTGTCCACCTACTCAATCTCTTATTTTACCATGAGAGCTTTTACATCGTATATCATATTTACTGCTATTTTAAGAGCCATTAGCGTTTAATTATTACCATTCTGGCTTGGTTTTCGTCGCCATTTATCTATCGGTATCAACTGGCAAGGTTTGGCCATCTTCGCTGTAAACCACGTTTCATTGCAACTTCTTCCACTCAGCGTGGTGTAAGTGATGTTAGATTTACCTCCATCTCTTGGCGTCTTTTGCGGGGTGGACAACGCGCCAATTCTGTGAAATTTTTGTTTGATTTCCTGTTTAGCAAGGCAAAGAGATTGTTGTTAATGTCAGAGAATATTTCTGGGTGTTAATAACTAATAGCACAAGCTAACTTAAAGTGTACACGCTGAGAATTATTTCAAACTTCGATGGGACACAAGAGCCATCAATCTTGGACCGTCTGAGAGAAACGTAAAGAATCAGAGAAGCGAGACGTCGTTAAAGATAACTGCTCCACCTGTCATACAGGTACCAAATTTGGTCTAGACTTCTAAGGGTCTAAATCTTCTTTTTTCTTAAATAGACCGAAAGAAGAAGGTGGGCGATACGCTCGACCGAAGACGCTGAAGAGAATCTAAATTAGTAAGTTCGCAAATGGCCTGCCCAAAAGAAATTGCTTTTAAATATACAAAGCAGAATTGCCGAGCTAAGAATAACATACTGAGGAGATAATTTATCAACACGTCAAAAATGTTCACGGAAGCATGCAAAGAATTTCTTTTTGCGCTCTTAAAAGCCAACTTTAAAAATAAAACATTGCCAAGGAAAAATAAAGGATATTGTGCTTGAACCAGTTATTGAGATAATGTCAATAAACCTGTATATCAGCCCATATATTTTCCCTGAGCGATCCGGTCCGGCGGTTTTCACTTGTAAATCATGACATAGCAGAGGAATAGTTGTGAGCGTGTCATCCTCGCGTGTGCGCGCGCGCAGCGTGTTCAAGAAGCGCTCGTTCGCCCTAACTGATCAAAATTCATAAATTTACATAAAAAGGCAGTACCTACCTCGAAAACATCTGCCACGCATTTTGTTTTCCTTCGTTCTTTATTTTGTTTCACGAACGCCTCAGTAAATTCACTCTTCCATGAGTATTCATTCCACGAGGAGGAAGAAATGGCCACGAGATTCCTGAATTGATCAGGATGTCGGCGCATTCTGCTGGTAATTCTATTGATCATGGCACCAGAATAGCTGTAATCAGCCACGATAAAGAGTCTTGTTGCTGAGCAGTTTTTCACGTCTTCTAGAAGTTGTTTTGGTGTGTAAAGCTCGGAATCATCGGTGATGCCGTCCCCGTTGTCCTGGAACAGAAGAGCGCCATCGCTAGTCGACGGCCCAGTGAGATAAAGTGTGATTGAATCTGCACAGTTACGAGCTCGACAAAGCTTCTTGATGTACTCTTTGACTCCCGTTGGACTGCTTGCGAAAAAAGAGTTGTCTCTTTGTCCATCAAAAACTAAAAATAGAAAATGCTACATGAGAAACATTGAAGACAAGCTAAAAGTGTTTCGTTTCTTAGAGAATCGACGAGTTACCTAGAAGAAAAAGCATTAACGATAAGATTTTTTAAGTCGTGTCTTGCAACTTCAGTAATGAACTACTGGGAAGAACAGGTTATAAAGGTTCGTTTTGAGTGATAATTTAATTCAACGGCTTTGATATGACGAATTAGATTATGTTTATAATGAAAAAAATACATGCTAAATTTTCCGAACCGGCTACATATTTCACTGAGCACCCCCAGCAAGCAGAGCATAAAACAAGACATAAAATATTATAAAGATAGTAATCCTTTGATTAAGCAATTGTGTGAAATGGTAAAAAATGCAAAATCACTCAAGATATGAACAAATTATGCAGCTCACTAAACCGACTGAACATAATAGATTTAGTCAGGGCTGTAATCAAAACAGCAGTTAAGAGTCTGCACGCTGTGCATTTCTCTCACAAGTTTTGCTTAAGATTCCTTCATTGCAAAATCGGAGAGCAAAAACTTCATTAAACATCTTCAGTTATGTCTTGAAATAGCATTTTAGAAGGGACAAACCGCGAAGAGACAAGAATGAAAAGACAGGACAAAGATGTCTAGGGATGAAAACATATTGAAGAGGACGGTTAATAAGAAACTTGAATCGTTTATGTGTAATTTTGCGAAGTGCAAAAGCATGACTTAACTCCCTTCCACGCTGTAAGTCTAAATATTTGCTCAATATTCCATCTGTTTTACATTTCTTCGTAGATTAGAGAGCGATAAATTTGTGTTACATTGAGAGATTACTCTTGAGCTAATAATTGTATCTTTTCTTATTGCCTATTTGCTGGATAATGCATTAAAATCGTAAGGAAATTTCACATGCTAGTCACTTATAACATTAGTGAAGCATAAGAGAAGTAAAACTTTGCTCGTGCTCGCTTCTGGCTTTTAAGGGATATTTACTTGATTTCTCAATTTACTCCTTCATTGAATGTCGGTGCAATTTTTTCGACCTGAGCGTGTAAATGGGTCAGAATTCTGATCAACTGCAATGACGAAGAGCTTCCGCTAAATACGTGAGGTTGCGATAGACTTCGACTACGTGAAATACTAATTAACACGTAATCATCTCGGCGAATCGTTCTTCATTTTATGTGTGACAAGACCTCTCCGAAATTAAAAAATTGTATTGGACGTGAGCGCAGGATTAATTTCGCGGTGTTTTAAGTTACGTGTTTATTTTCGGGGTCAATCGATGGTGAAATTGAATAACACGCGTTCTGTTGGCTCAAGGCAAACAATTACAATTCTAAAAATTCTACACGCAAAAACGAAAGAATGCGACGCTTGAAATTTCCCATATTCGGTGTGTTCACGTGACGTTATTCGCAGCTGTATGTAGTCCGACCCGAGGAATTACAACCCAGAAAATTCTAAATGCGCTTACGGATCTCTTAGGGTTTCAGCGTTTCACTCCAAATCGAAAACCTCTTTAACAGATGCATCTCAGTGCGGCTTCGATTGTATGTCGGCAAAGTGCAAAGGAAATTCTTATTGTTAGCATGCGCAACATGATTTTACTTTTGCATCAAAAGATTTCACCTCTGCGAAGCGCATCGTACGATATTTTAATTTATATTTTTCATTAGAACATCGTATTTTTCATGAGCACGTAATTCCACTTTATTGTTATCGAGGCTTTATTAAAAATGCCACCCATTGGTTTGTGTTTTGTTCTGTAGCTTCGTTTACAACGACGAAAATTAAACTTTGACTGTCTTTGTCGCTGTCATCTAAGCTGTGATTACTGTCAAGTTCTTCATTTCCCAGTAGCTACAATGTCAGTTCCAAGACTTCGTTGCCGCTGTTCCCTTCTCAATATAATCGATGTCTGGAGTTGAAAAACTGATTCTTAAGAAAGATTGATCAATTCACACAAAGCGAACAGTTTAAGGCTTAATGAATTGATTGTAAAGACGTGTGAAGTTATTTAGTTTCGCAATTTTCCGCCGGTACGACAGAAACATTCTACACACTTGCAGAGAAACTAAAACTTAAGAGTAAAACTCAATGGTGAGAACCGCGGTAAAGATAAAAAAAGCAACAGCACCTCTTAAGTGAGTTTTTAATCAATTAAAAGCGTCTTAAATGAAGCATCTTCTTATTCTAATAAACCAAATTGTTTTTGTCAGTCTCACTGCAGTGAAGAAACCGCTCGTTGAGTTACGAATATTGTTTCGTGAAAGGTATCGGTTTCAAAATTAATTACTCTGCGACATCGGCCATTTACAATTTATCACATTAAAGGTTTAAACCGAACCGCTTACAGCAGCAACCCGCTGGGCTGAAAACACAGTTGGCAAAATAAATCCCCTGCACTTAGACGGTCGAAGAGAAAGTTTTTCTCCGCAAACAAAGATGGAATCTCCATTAGCGAATCTTTGGCTAGCTGATCAAATAGCTGTCCCACAAGGATTACAAGGTTGGATAACACATAGATCGCGCGTAATTCCACCAAATCGCAAAGACTGGAAATTTTCCTGCAGAAATCGCAAATCTCATTAAGAATATCCTTAGAGAATGATCTTCAGTAATAAAGCGATTCAAGCTACATTCATGGAATAGTTTTAATAAATCATTTTGCCGACTGCCAAATGAATTAATGCCTTCCCGATTTCGATCGAAGAGCAATACCGCCGCTATAATCTGTTGACGCAAAATAAACTTTCTTTACGAAATACAAACATATCTCCTATACTCACGTTCCTCCTTCTGACCCTGGCCAAAGAAAGTGACGATTTTTTCTTTCTTGTAATGCACTTCTAAGTGCAGTAGTTTCCACATTTGATGAAGATTTCGGCGATATCGTGGATGGTTTGCGTCCGGATTCCAGCCACCAGACACCAACACAGCATGGTCACAAGTGGTATAAGAGCATGAATCTTGAGATTTGGGACGCTTTCCTAACGAACAACCCTGCACAGAATTGACATTACAAGGCAGTGAAAGTTCGTCCTGTACATCACGTTTTCCACAGCTTGCAAATTGGCGCGTAGTTAGACTTTCATGGCAATGGAGAAGCTGTTTACGTTTTCCGTCGTTCACAGAATGTACGAGCGGTATGAAATTTATTTCACACTTAACTTGTCTGTGAGCAATACGGTTTTTACAGTGTACTTTTTCTGCTCTCCTGATGCATTCTTTCCGTCCTAAAAATAAAAAAAAGGCAGACATGAAAAGTTATAGCATTTACGATACGAAAAAAATAATATGACGATGAACAGGGCCAGTATATGAACGCGGTATTGGACGTTACGTCCATCATAACGCCCCACTTTAGAATGACCTTGTTTTGACTGATATGATAAATTTTCCATACAAAACAAACTTACGCGGCGTTACAATATTACATCCGTTGGTCATAGGTCGTATTCTTGTTTCATAAGCGGCAATAATAGCGCAACAACAATCTTAAGATTCTTCATTTAAATATTTTAAGTAAGGCCCGCAACGGACACGATACGTAAACAGAAAACGTCAGTTTGAGGAAACTTATGTCGATACACGCGCTAAGTCACGCATAAACACCCTCTAACTCACCAGTATTAACAGGAACACCATTCATGTTGCGACAAACAGTCTGATTCACATCAAAGTCCACCAGAAAAATGAACACAACATGGCCGAAGTTTGTGTCGGGATACGGATCCAGCACAAAGACCGCGTCGTAGGAGTCATTCCGGTGGGAACGTGCAGTCAGGCGCCGCTGTCTTCTGTCTGGTAGCACTACTCTGAGGATGGACTTTTTCTGGCCTTCCGCGGTAAACAGTCTCATTTTGCGCGTATCCATACCGACAATGATGGAGTCGTCGCACTGAGATCCCCTCGAACGGCCCCAACATGGTCTGGTCTGGAGCTTATTTAGCGTTTCTCGGATCCGTATGTCCCAAGCTAAGGACGAGTCCGTTGCCCCATGCACAAAGTTATTGTGAAGTGGCCCGAAGCCATACATGCAAACTACACACAAGATTTTTACCACGAGAGATGCCATTCCAACGGGTCTTTTAACCAAGTTCCGCTCGCTTCCAAAGATAACACTGTTTTGATAAAAGCGGTCAATCTGTCAGTTTTTCTTTATACTCAGTAATAACAATAAACAATTCCGAGTTCCTACTGTGCCCTTGACGAAAGCGCCTCTTTCTCCTATGTCCCCGGACACTTTGCCGACTGATGACTGGTCTTCACTGAGTGTCCACCAACGCGCCCGCTGCACTTAAAAATCTTCCCTTTTTTAAAATTAAATAACACAATTTTTGATTGGTTCGCGGCTACTTCTATCGCAGTGTTAATTATTTTGGCAATACGCGGTCAACTTGGGTCGGTGCAATTGCTAATCGTTTTTCTCTTTTCAGAGATCTCAACAAACTAGCCTCAAATAATGAGGTTACTGTAGAATTAAGCGACACGCATATATTTCGTAACAAGAGAAAGAAAGCCGACAACAGATTTTACGATGACTTGTTATTCCCTGGTCGTGATTGCGCGGGGTTCAAGAGGAATAGGAATTGAAAAGTTTCCCGCTTGCTCAGTCAGCAATAGATGCTAACTTTGCCCCGGAAATTCAGCCTTTGGCCACATCACGCCCACTGTGAAAAAAATTTGCCAATAAATGGTGTTGAAAAGGCACACAGTTAGCGGTGTGCGTGAAGCGTGTGTGAAATCGGTAATTTAGTGAAGAATTTTCCGCAAAGGAAGATAAAAAATTCCCTCTAAAAGGTCATCAAAGAACTATTTTCAGTCTGGAGTGTTTATGTTGGGAAAATAATCGTTAGCACTTCTCCCGCAAAGTTTTCTTTGGGAAGGCGTGATGCTGCGACATTGTTATTGTTCGGTGAAATAGCGGCATTTTTGCAACTTTCACTTAAAGGGACCTGAAAGCGCCCGCTAGAAAAATGATCTAGCTAATTGAACTTGTGATACTCCTGGCTGTTAATAATATTACATTCTTAAGTTGCCGAAAGTGTAAACAATGGATTCTAAAGTAGCGATATTTATTTAACAGATGACGATTACAGAGCGGGGCACTCTTTTATCAGCCATGGAATATTTGCGCGCAAGTAATACTTCAAATTCACGCACGTTTTACGTCTAAAGTGAACCCTTGACGTCCATTTTTAAAATCATTAATTTTGATTAATCAACTCTACTTCCTGACATTGTTTTACTTGGTAATTAATGCACAACGATTTTATTAGACTTTTCATACTGTATCGGAGTTATCTTAAGTGCGGAAAACCGCACAGTTAAACAAGTAGGTAGTGAGATTCTTAGATAATTTATTTTCGGACGTGATGATGAATTACTTGTAACCTTTATGACGTCAGATGGATCGCTAAATTCATTTGTGTAAGTAAAATTATTTCGGCTAAGTTGGAATATGTTCCGCTCTTCTTGGCCAGTTTTAGACGGATGATGAAATACCCGATAAAGATTTAGGGGGGAGGGGGGCCGTCGCAGAAAGGAAGACCCTTGCAAAGGGCTGTCTCCTCCATAACCGTGCTAAATTGAAAGGAGGGTGTGATTATTTTTTTCTAACGGCATCGTAAGTGGGTTGAATCCGATCGGCTGTATCACCTGGATATGGAAGCGTGCTTACCAAACTCCTAGGCGCAGAAATCTTAGACAAATTCTGTTGAAAGATTGCCAACCGGTCTCTGATAGCGTCTAAAACTGTTAAGGGACTTTCTTCGGTAATTCATAAACCGATTAGCTAGCTTGTTACACTTAGCCGAGGGTTTCGGAAAGATAACGAGATAACGGGAAACTGAGACGCCTAAGGAGCTGTGAAGTCTGTGCAGGAAAAAAATATCCAGTGACAGCGACCTTCACAACACGTGGTTACTGACAATACATTATGTTTAAGTTTTTATATGGTACAATAAGCATTTTAATTCTGAGGTATTGCAGGTCGGGAAAAGATATCTTTTCATATCAAAATTTAAACGCAGTAGAGACATAACTTCGCTAAAAAGCAAAAAAAAATTAAATATAATCAAATTTACGTCGTAAGTAATTTTCTGCCGCTCTGAACACAAGACAAAAGAGTTCCTCTTTTTGCTGCGCTACCAACACCAAACAGCCTTAGCGACAATTTTTTTCTCAGTAATTCATCCTAAGTCAAAGGTGCTCGTGAGAAATAGTTCTTAACAGATTGCTATGAGCTGAAATATTTCGCTAAAGTTGCAAGTAAGGCTGTCACGTCCCAGAGCCTTTGTCTAAAATTAAACTAAAATAGTCGCACCTATCAAACGAAATTCTTTCAAAGGCAATTCCATAAGTCATCACATAAGCTCATTAGCTAAGAGGTCCTTAATAGAGAAAAATAGTCTAATTTACTCAACAAAACCCTGGGCGGTCTTCGATTGTTTTTTTTTTTTTTTCCACGGAATAACTGACCGTAGTTCCGCTTTGTCTTGCGCGAGCGGTACATAACTCAAACGTAGTTTTTAATTCGATTTTTTAGTGAACCTCATTGTATTAAGAAAAAAAAAAATCGAAGCCGACTGATAAGGATTCCTTCACACGTTCAAGCGAGAACTCCGGAATCGAAAATGGGCACACTTTTAAATGTTTAATTTGAAGTCTGACAAACTAGCAGTTGAATTATTGTCAAGGTGACCATAATGCATAAATCTTGGTACATAGTGTTAATATTCTCCTCTCTGAGTTCACTGATCAGACAAATAACCACTGTACCAGCGACTTTTACAGGTTTTTCCGCATAAAAATGAGATGCACAAAGAAAATACTTTGATACGGAACATGGCTGTATAAATCTAACGAAGGGCTAACGCTCGAAACACTCAGCTTTAGAATCTTTTTATCGTGGCCAATTTAAATTATCAACTTAGTTGCTGAAACCAACAAGTCTCTTTTGAGACAACTCAAGAGCACATGCGTTAAGAAACTAGCTTCCACGTATGTTAACTGTTAAGTTTTTTCGACTTGGACTTACTTGCCTTTTTTTTATTCTATGGAAAAATATCTTGATTAAACTACACCAGGGAAGTTGGCTGGGATCGAAAACAAAAATACCCGGAGAATTTGTCCGTAAAGCTTGCTTGATATTGCAAATCGATCGCGACAGAGGTTAATCTTTTTTACAACCACGTTGCGCCTTGCATATCTTGGAATATTTACCTTAAACTTTTCCAGGTTGCCATATCGTCTTTAGTCGTCTCCGTCCCAAGCCGTTGTAGCAACTTTTTGTTTTATCATCGCCCTTTAACTACTTTTTCTTGACTGACATATCTGTTTATATTGTAGTCTCTTTTACGTCTGAGTAATTTTGGCGTCTTAAAAATGACGCAAAATGTGCAACATCAACTCTTATTTCATAGGTGATGAAATTGTAATTGTCGTAATTTGCCAATTCATCAGTCGCTTTTTCCAAACCACCAGTTAATAATCACTTTATAACCTAAAAAAAAAGCGAAGATGACTTCGTATTTTATTTCGGCCTTGGGGAAATCGGCAAACAATTTCTTTTAATTCAATTACTGGAAAATGAGGTTTGCTTTTAGAAATTGCAAAATATAGCTATAAAATTGCCTGGTCATGGCGAGCTCAATATCTAATATATCTAATATTATATTTGGAGCATTAGTACTTGAATTCAAAAGCCCCAATTTAACAAAACCACAACGACCGGAAGAAGTTTTCCATTGGAGCACGTTGTGGATGTTCGTCACAACTGACATAGTTGTAAGCATTTTCCTCCATGAAATAAATTTGCAGATGCATACAAATACAAGAAAACTGACTCCGACAATATCGTTAACCTGATTGGGTCACGTTCAGTCTGTAATTTTAGCAGACACTCGCAGTTTGAGGAACAAGTTCGGTTATCGGTACAATACAGTTTTATTGAAGATTCAGTCTTGTTCCAAAGATTTGAGTCGTGTAGTTCTTACCATCGGAAAGAATGCTGGTGTTAAATCTCCCTTGCGTGATGGGAATCGTAAGATTTTTTTTTTATCATTTTTCATTTCTTATCCAAATAAAAATTCTTGTGTTTAAGGCTTTTTTTTTTTTTTTTTTTTTTTTTTTTTTTCATAATGCATCCTCGTGGAATGATATTACAGCATATTAGCTCTGCAAGACGGGAGATAATACAGATTTGAAGAATTAATGACTAAGTTGACTCAGGCTGGATGTTCTTTTGCATCGAAAATTCTGCTTAGAATTAATGAACATCTCACGCTTACTTGCCTGCGATGAAGGAAAAAAAAAAAAAAGAGAGCAAATTGCAGGATAAGGCCATCAATGGATTTTTCATCGCGGCACTCTTTGACTTTATAGCACAGGAAATTTTTAGCCCAAAGTCTTCATGAACAGGGAAAAAAAAACGGAAACAGTTACTGGATGAAACTCTCCCGATAAAAAACGAGCTACTTTCAACTTATTTTCGAAGATATTGGTGACCGATTCGCTTTATGTAATGAAAGCAAAAGCGTTTAAAATTCGTCGTTAAGGTGATGGAGTCAAACGTCTTGTCCGAGTTAGTTTAATATGAGGTTCCGAGAGTGTTTTAATTCCATAACTTGATTCATTTCAAATTTTTGTCTAGATGGTTTAAAAAAAAAATTGCTGAAACTGAGAGTTTAGGGTCTGATATTCATAAGAGTCAAGAGACACTGAGAAATTTGGCTTTTATAGGCGAGGTTGTGTCCTCAGAAACTAGTTAAATTTCGAAGAGAAAAAGGACTGGTACGTTAAGTAAGTCGCGCAACCAAATAACGATATTCACTCTCATGAAAACCTATTGATGTGTATCAATATTCAAAGAATAACTATTAAAAGTTACCGTTCTCTTATCATGGGTGCGTGTAAAAGAAGGATAAAAAATACTTACAGTGAATTCCTTAAGAGTGAACAAGAACACTGATGTGCAGTTTATCAGAAGACAGCGAAACTGATTGAGATGTTTGAAACGCCGGATATATAAGCGTTCAGTGTAACAGTGGCCAGGCTTGTTGAAAATTGAGAAGATAGCCAATTAGTGCTAGCTCTTGAACTGTCGATATCCCACGCAGATTAGCTGGATCAATTGTTGTTGAATGGTTCGCTTTTAGCCTTAAAATGATCCGCCCTGGATTAGCGCGTCTACCATCAAGTCGCCAACATCATCGAATCTCCGTCAGAATCTAGAGCACAAGATATTTGACGTCGGGTCACTTTTTAGTCTGGAGACTTCACGTCTGAGAAACAGAACCCCTCAGTTACTATAACAGCATTGCACCTAGGTAGCAAGTACGTATGCTCGCTGCCCCTGGAAGCAGTTTTTGTTATTGAAGACGAATAAATACTTGCATAACCTTCTAAGAAATGCTATGCGTGCAGTTTTGCTGAGATTCGTCACGACTCTTTTTTCATCTATTGTTGAGAAATATTTGTATGATATCGCTGTAATAGCCCCTCGAACTTTCTTTAAAGATGTAGGTTTTGATAATGATACTAAATTTTCGGACCCACGGAGGGATTGAGGAAACGACGTGGACTGAGATGGATCAGAATTTTCAACACACTTGTGTCAACTGTCGTAAATAAACGATCAAACAAGGTGTAATTACGTGAGGTTTGGCATTACTTGGCTGTCAACAAGCGAAAATCTTCGTCCAGCTGTGACGAAACTTCGGCGGGTGTGTTCAAATTCGCTGCCAGCTCACGAACCAGTATGTTCGGGAAATCAGGGGCCGTCGCGGTTAAACCACAACATCAAAATTTGTAAACTAAGCGACTTCGGGATAAATATAGATGACGTTTTAGAGTGTCAGATCAAAAGAGTAATGAGGTAATTTTTAGATACGAGGCAGTAATTGGAAGGCCTCCTAGTTTTATTTATACCATTATCATTAGACATTGAGTCCATAAAAAGTCTTCCGTGCGATGATATCAGCGAATCCATTTTTGACTTCCAGACAAGTGGTAAGAAAAGAGAAGTTACCCTGCGTAACTTTGAAAAAATGCCAACATTTATGCTATAATAAGTAACGGCTTAGTGGCTAAAGTGGACAAACAAAACAACTTTGCATGCCTTCGGCTTTTCAAGAGACTTCGAATTGTTCGCTATGTACGGAAGTTGTTATCCCTATTGTAAAGTCTAAAAGGGAACCGCAAGTATCAAAACTACTAAAATGTCACCGAGGAAGTTACTAATTATCAAAGTGCAAGCGTTTTGACATTTATGGGCAACAGACTGAGCATAAACGTATGACATTTGTGTGGGTGAATTGAAAACAAACATTTTCCCACTGGCTAATTCTGGCTCTTGTTTTTTAAGTGCTATACGCGAGTAAAAGGAAAGTGAACTGAATTAAAATATTAGGTGCTTCTGCAATTTTCAAGGAAAAAAAATTGAATACATTTGTAAATGGTGTACACATTTTCTTATTAACTATTGCAGAGGAAGAAGTCCCCCATGTAAATTTGTTTTTGATATTTTACCAACTTTGATATTTAGGAAAAGTCTTCCCTGAGAGCTTTTTATGTAGTTGTCTGTTTGTATCATTGCGTTCGCAGTTAATTATTGAAAGAAGTGGCCATTAATGGATTCAGCTATTGGGAGACGTTGTATATTTGATTTCATATAAACTCGCTTCTTCCTTCCGAGTGTTTTTTTTTTTTTTTTTTTTTTTTTTCATAGTTATTGCATCATCTCATATCTATCTGGGCTTAATCGAATGTAAACTGCGGGAAGTTTTATAATCATTACCTTACGAGGAATAGACTCAGATGTTTTTTTGTTTATTTTTTGAATACGGAGAGCACGAGATATTCGATTAAATCTGCCCATTTTTTTTACCCCTATTTCTTGATCTGCGACTCTCCGCACCCGCAACCTGCAAGTAACTTATTAAGCAACACCAATTGTTCCCCCGCGAATTATATTTGATTAAATGTCATACCATTGCGCATTTGAAGTTGTGTTATTTTTATAAAAATTGTGCTTTAAAACGAGTGTCAAAAGTTGAAAAGTTCATCATAAAAAAAAAAAAACACCTAGATGCAAACAAAAGTTTCGTAACCTATGATTACGAGCAGTTCAAAGACCTGCGTCGAGGCAACGGTTAAGAAAAAGGAGCATAGCCACTGGTATAAGGAATTCCGTAGACTAAACTTGTTGAAATCAAAGTTTCGATGTCACACTGGTCCTGGCAACCTGCCGAAAGCCTCTAATGAGGATAACTTAATGCTTCCAACTTACCTGCAGATGCCAAGCGATGAAAACACTCTATCGGAGCTCTTTCATTGACCTCGATAAATGGTGAGTTTGAGTTACTTAAATACATTGTATTGGCCATTTGAAGGGGATACATTTAAATGTATAAACTTTCGCGTTTCCTGTAGACCACCCTTTCCGGGGAACAGACCGCAAATCACCTTGGTCAGATTTCTGAATGCGTTGACCAAGGGAATACCGAAACAAATAGGCACCCCATGCAGGCACGTCAAAACAAAACTAATCTTGTACAAAGACTACAAGAGAGCATTTCCTTTGTGTGTCCGAGCACCGAGCACACACAGTGAACTTTCTTGTTTATGTAAGGAAGCCTGATGTTTTTCGACAATTATTTTGCCATTACAGCTAAATACGATCAGTAGATCGGACGGAAAGAGTTTTGACCTCAGTATGGAAAATGTCTTTTTGCGGTCTGGTAAAACTAATTTGTAAACGAAACCGCATTCATGTATGCTTCTTGATTCGGAAAACATGAAACAGTTCGTGATTCCTTGACCAACAATACCATTTTCTCAAAGTTTATGTTCGTAGACAATACGTACTTCTTTCTTAAATCTATGGAATTGCCTCGTACTGCAACGTGTGTGGTCGGTTCTCAGCGCCGATTTGATGCGCACTCAAAAGAGTAAAAGTACATCTGTTTCAGTTAGGTACGAAAACGTTATGGAAGAGAGGTAATAAAAAAATGTAATTGTTTCGAAGTTGAACATGGTTCCGTGGAAGTTTTTCAGAAAACTATTCGTGCTATTTAAAATTGTTTTTTTTTACACAGAATACACGCGTCGGTTCGAAAAAACTTTCTTAATTAAATCAGCCAGCCTCCTAAGAAATCGCATATTTTCTGCATTTCGCCGAATATCTTAATCTGGCGGCTTTGGGTTTAAGACGTCTAGGAACGAGAGTTTAGATCTACCAGCAAGGCGACAATGAACAGACTCCTCTCCAAACGGAAACTTCAGTGACGAACGAGAACAAATACCACGACGAGGTCAGTGAGAGTTAAATTTCGGAATTCTCGTCGAAGTACCTGAAGAAACACAGGAAATAACACAGCGAAACGTAATTGTTTAAATCCTCAGACATGTTTCATGATGTTAGCAGACATCTTATCACGTACTTCACGCAGAAAGGGGGAATTTACACATGAATCGACTCACTCAGTTTGACTAGTGCCACTGCTTCTCTCACTTTACATTTTCAGCTGTGGCATGATATCCGTAGTTTATGAATGAATCTCATCTTGTGAGAGATCTTGAAATACAATTCTTTGCACAAGCAGCAGTTGTATTTTGTTCAAAAAAGAGTAAACTATAGCGAAAATAAAAGGAAATGCGTGGAGATCTGCTTGTAAAAATGAGAAGTAGAGAACTGGGTACCATTTAATTAGGATTTCTGAAAATGAAGCTCTTTTAAGACTGACGGTGGAGAATAGAAGCTCACGGAAGTATCAGAAGGTCGCTTCTTCCTCTATCTTATGCTTTAAGCAACACCTAAACGAGCAGTAGATGGTTCTGTTCGAAGAGGAACTGCTGTTGTTATTCTCTTCCCCTTTCACATATAACGATTCTTGGGAAGGGGGGAGGGGCTGTGGATTGTCAATGGAAAGTACGTGGGGATTTACGTGGGAGGTAAGAGAAGAAGACTGGAAGTGTACGGTACCCTCATATCCCGCCATCCCCTGTGCACCTCAGATTTCTGTTTCCCGGATATTCCCGTGCGTTCTCGCACTTAGAAAAGGGCAGATTACTTGGTTAACAAAGTGAAAGGCCATGGAAAATCTCTTGCCTCTTAGTTGCGTCCCAGATGGACGCTATAGGATGGAAGAAAAGAACAGGACGGAACATATCGCGCCTCGTGATAAGCACTGCAAGTGCTACCTGAAAAACGTTGTGTAAAACTTCGATAAAACATTCGCACAAGTCATACACACGGATTAAGAGCATTCTAAGAATGATCTCTGTACTGGGCAATATTTCCAACGAAAATAAAGGATAAGGGGGTTGCACTTGAAATATTCTCAGAATGAGCCTTCGCCAGTAATGATAACACAGCAAACACCCATCAAAAAAGTAAAAACAAAACAAAACAAAAGAGAACAAAAAATGACGATCTCTCTGTTCATTGATAAAACTTTATTGCACATATATGTACACATTCACGAGGTTACATAAAATATGATTACGATAGGATTTTATTTTCCATTGGAAGCATATATGACTGCTCATACAATTCGCGTAGTCTGTTAAGATACTTATGTTTTGACTGCATCAGGCACGAAATGTTGGGCTGAGGTCGGAAAAGAACGTGTGTCGCATGGCGTCTTCGGCTGATATTCTGTGAGCTGGATTAAGAACCAAAAGTTTCTAAGAAAAAAGGAGACAGGGCTACGTTAGTGGAATCACCACAACAGCAACACTTTAAGGGCCGGTTAATTGCCTCTACAACAAAAAGTACATCTGTTAAGGTCGCTGAAGGAACAAGTAGACACACACATACTGAAAAATTGTTCTACTTAGGAAACCATTACAACACTAGCGGTAATGGACATGGGAATCTTAAATGTTGAAGATTGAAAAAGTTACAAGCTCGCGAAATCTAACAATCTTCGTAAATGCTAGAAGCACATTTGAGGAATGAGAAAAGAAAGGAACTTAATAAACAAATGTTTTACATCGATAATTTGAGTGTTCAAGTTAAACGTGGGGACGTTGAGAAGACTGACACCAAGGATTATAAAATTCTTTCTTTCTTTCTTTCTTTTTTTGATGTTACCCTTGAGAGGAAAGATTGAGTGAATGAATATTTTTGGAAGAAGGGATTATCAGCAGGCTGCACACATAGAGAATCACTTGAGGACATGCATTTTACCATCGTGTACGAAATTAACAAAAAGTCGGAGGGATTAAATGATAACTTTAAATCTTTACGACACAAAGATGACCTCTACGGAAGTTGACGCTTGCGACACCAATAATCTAGATAGTTACAGGAGGCTTGTTGACTCTTATATGTGACAGAGATAAGCAATTAACCGAAAAAGCGGCTCTTCCCCAAGGAATGAACACTAGTTTCTACCAAAGTTCTCTTTAATTTGCTAATATTCATTGGAATAGCAGAAGCTGAAATTCATCTCATAAATAAAACGTAGGATATTCAATGATTTTACCAATCAACGAGAAACCATTTTAATAATACCCTACCAAAAGTCTATTTACAGAATGCGAGTTTGATCATGTCATGTTTTACTTCACATAAAATGGATGAAAATCTCGGATCAAGATGAAATAAGAACAAAGAATTTTAAGCGACAAACATTTATTCTCAGCCTCGCGGCTTCAAGATGGCGGCAGCAGAGTTGAACAAAGGGGGTCTCAAGTCTCCTTTTAAAATTTGGGGCTGGCGTAGCATTCGAATTAAAAAAAATTCCTGTGCGGTGTATTATCTGAAATAAATAAACGTTTTATAAAAAGGGCGAAATCAATTTCCGCCGCTTTTCTTTATCTTCGTAACAAAGGAGGCTAAATTCAACTTTGGGAGTAAATCTGCACAAAATAACAATGATGATAATTAAATGCAGTAGTTAACTTGCCAAAACAGTGCCTTGATATTTATTTGGTATGGGAAAACTCGTACTGGCTGGCTTCGACGAGGTGGTTTAGACTGAACGATAGCGACCTTCGGGATAAAAAGGCAGACGACGCCTTCGGATTCAGCTCTAGTACAAATCCTTATCATTTGCATGGTTATCTTCACCTGATCTTTTAAAAAAAAGCGTCAAGTTTCTGAGTTAAAGCGAAAAGTTTCCCATCGCTTTTCAAGGTCTCCATAGCGAGAAGAGTTAGTTGGATTCAATTCGCTGATTTTTACTGTGGTCGCTGAAGAATGTACTAAAACTTTTTTGACACGCAAACAAATCTTGCTCTGCCGTCTACAGCAGGTCTTGCGGCAAGGGCGTCAAAGATACCGTCTCACGAATATAATAAACTATGGATCCATCTTATTAAAGAACAACTGCTGGTAAATTCAGGTAACAAAAGTCATTCACCTAAAATCTTTGCAATCCCATCTCCAGTTATATTAAAGTAGTGTACAACTCGAGTCATACCTGCAACAAATCTCTTCCTGCAGCGGACAGTTTGGGTACAACCACAGAAAACGAAACGGCCCCGGCGCCTTGAAGATGCGAAAAGTCCTAAAAAGTAAACAGAAACAGTGCTGATAATATCCGTTGTAAACTCCGTTACCTGGTCACAATCCCATGACAATATTTCTTGATCGTTTTCATAGCTATCTTCCAACGATTGTTACGAGACAGAAAGACTAGCTTAAAATCTCATCGTGTATGAATGCAGTTTTATCTATGTAGCAACTAACGCTTCAAGTCACGAATTCTGCCCTAATCGTAGCCAAAGGGAATACAAAACTTTGACAAAGGAATAAAAAAACTACTCAACTGTAATTCTCCTGGATTCTATGTTAAGATGAATTCTGACGTCCGATCTCACCTTAACTGATTGTAAAGCGCGACTGATTATCTATATAGTAGTTTGCGCTAGATAAATGTTAAATTGTTGTTGTTGTTGTAAGTTGCGTTCTTCAAAGGGTTCACAAAAGTGCCGCGTTTCGGACAGACATACCATACCAAATCCTCAAATCTGAAGCCTTCCCCAGTTAATGTGGACTTCATAGTGTTTTTCAACTCTATTTTCTCCCCTTACCGCTGTTTTCAAAGAAGATTTACAAGGGTTTGCTGGTTTATGCCATGGAAAAACGGTGTTAAAAGCCAATCTGAAGAAAGTGGCTGGTAAACCTTTAGCCAAACGACCGTACAAACCTCAAAGTACTTCGTCATCAGTAAGGTTACCTGACCAAAATCTGCTTTAGCAGTCTCACAATGTTGCGTAGGAGTAAATCTAATTTTCTTTCAGAGGTCGGAGTTTCCCAACACCAAAAGTTCAGGCTTTAAGTACTTAACAAAGCATTTAAAGTTACCAAGTGCGTGATCAAAATCGATATATATCTTGAATTTCATGTGTCATATTTTTCGCGTGAGAATTTGTTATGCAATTTTGTGACAAGTCTGACTGACAGTTAGAGGAATATCACGCGTTTTATTGCTAAGTCTTCGAGTGGCGAATAAGTCCCTGACTTGCTAGAGCAGTCCGTGCTCTCGACCAATACATGACTTCCTACACGTAGTGTAATCAAAAGGTTGTGAAATTTCTTCAAACTTTCAAGTACCCTGTTGGGAAGTGACGCACGATTTCTACTCTTTTGCCTCTTTCCTTCTCCTATTTTATTTTATTGTCAACCTTAGCTTAGTGTCAAATTACAGTAAGTTGTGGTGTACACAGATAATGCGGTTTCTCACGTAGAAAACTGAAAACCTTCCTTCCATGGAGAACTGACGACAATTACGTTCGAAATGAACAGCGATACACAAGGAGGCCCTTTCGACGTACGAGGAGAGCCTATGTTAAGCTTGGTATACATAGAAAATTCACTTCCTTACGTAGCAGAAAGGCAAAACCCTTCTATCCATGGAGGCCTCCTTACATTTCAAAATAGACAACGATACACAAACAGACCCTTTCGATGGAGGAGAAAAACCTACGCTCGCGAAACTTCTGACGCATTCTGTGTGTATTATTTCAGTTCGATCCCAAATCCTGACGATTTACGTTCGAGTGACAGTGATCGATTGTTTCCCCTTGAGCGTAGCAGCATAATCTGGATGGGACGCTAGCTAGAACTCTCGGATCTTTGCCAGGTTTCGCCAGCAATTCTCCTCAAGATAGATAACAACTTGAGAGGAAAGACAATCCACATCAAAGTCCAACTCGTTATCGCTTATATCTGTCTAAAGCTTATTACATATTTACCCACTAAAGATGCTCTTACAACTCCGACTATAGTAGACGTATTTATAAGGATATAAAAGCAACAAATTAGATAATGCACGAACTAAAACGCTCTTGAGGTATCAGCGCGTTTATTATGAAAGAAGCCAAATTAAAGGCTATCGTAAGATAATTGATCATTTGTTCAGGAACACTGAATAGTTACCTTGTAATCTGGAAGTTTGATCACATTAGGCCATGTCTCCTCAGAGGGTGGACCTAAGATTCTTTAGCATAGTCAAGGAATACACTTTATTCAAACCAACAACCATCGTGAAGAAACAGTCGTAATTTCAGATCTATTTGGTTGAGTACCTTAGCTAATCTACTGTCTTTTAAAATGAAAAATATTGAAAAAAGTAATCATAATAAATACAATAATGAAAGCAGCGCTTAATTTGTGCAAATCTAGATCTCGTGAACGAATAGTGTCAATTTATCACACAAGACTGAATTAACTATTCAAGATAAAGTATGTTTCAATCGCGTCGAACAGAAACCAAGACTTTTCCAAAGCTCTAGATGGGGACGCGATTATTCATGGCCGTTTGAGCCGCGGTGCGTCCGATTCGGCATACTCAAAGCGGCATTCGTAAAAGCAAACTGATGTTTTAATCAAGTTAGAACAAAGTTCCAGCAGCTCGTGGGATCAATGTTATAAGCGTTTCCGCGGATCTGGTGCCAAATTTATCGCAGTTACATACGCGTTTCTTTTATAATTTTCTAAAAAAAACACACCTAATGCTTTTTAAAGAAAGATTAATTCGCCGGTCGCTTTTGAAAGTCCAAACGCTTTTTTTAAGTAAGCCGCAGAAAGACCCACTCGATGAATCGGGCCAAACCCAAAACGAATAACAGTGAATCTGTCTCAGCTGTACGCATTAATTGATTTTAAAAGGTGTAAAACACAGTGAGCTGTTAGTGACGAATAAATAACCCAAAAAGGCTTGGCCCAAAAGGTAACGTTGTGGGTAGGTCTCTACATGAGTAAAACACAGAAACAAACAAACTGTGAAAGTGCTATCCGTTTCCTCGTTACATAGCACGCGTTGAATGTGTGTGCTTCTAGCCTTCTCTTTTGCAAGTAGGGAATTTCCTTGATCGGTTCAACATACAAAAGAAACAATGTCTTTAACTTCCTAAATAGCTAAAAAAGTGCGAAAAGAGTGAGAAAAGTTAACGACATGCTTCACAGTGAAAGCGTCAAGTCTCGCGTGGGAACATATTAGGAAATACCCAACAAGCTACCACCTGGTGGGGTGGGGTAGGAAAATTGAAAAGGCATTCGGCGAGGGACACGCCAGAAATGGTTTCTCATCTACGTCCCAGATTTTACAACAAATCTATGACTTTCTACTTTATTTGGACCAAAGATCATCATTTAAGAGGCCTCAAGCAACTTAAGCAAAGACGATACGACAAGAACAGTGCTAAACCACATGTTATCGCCTAACGTGCGTTGCATGTTTTTCTAAGACAGGAAAATGTTTCTTCCATGTAAGAACATGACTATCGCATGTAAACATTGCGGTTACGATTTGACCCCACTGGGTTCACAGTAATGCCAATTAATTGGCAACGATGCCAAAGTCAACGGAAGGTCAATAAAAGAATACATCGCTTTGTGTGTAACTCTAGTAAATTCTCTGACGTGCGTACATTTCCTGTTAAAGACGCTAATTCGCGGATGTAAAAGTGCCCCGATACTGAGAAGTTGCATACAGGAAGGTCTTGAACAGCATGCCAAGTATGGTTTCACGTTTTTCATAAGTCCAAATATGGCTGCATCTCCCCACACCCTGACCTGGGGTACATGGCGAAACAATCATAAAGTATAATGGAAAAACTTGCTGAAAATTGTAATGAAAATTCGACAAGAAATTAATTTGTTCAGGGAACCTCCTCTGATTCCAAGGGCACCGTTTAAAATTTAAACAATTTTCAAGTAAAAGACTAAATGCTTCGAAATCGTACCTCTTCATATTATTACTGTCGCGTATTCTTGGAAGACGCATTAGGTGGTAAATTCTAGGATTCTTAAAAAAAAAAAGACAGTGAACAGGAACCAGTAATACGGGCACAAGTGAAGATTTGATCGTCTTCTATGTTTGATTTGTCCGAATGTTTTGCGTTCGATCAAAAGAACATAAAAAAAAATAATAAATAAATAAAATATGAAAAATAAAGAGAACAATTCAAACATTACATAAGAAATAATCTGTAAAAAGAGGATCTGTATCTGGCAACACAAATTGAGAAAATGAAACTGGTTTATGTGGAGAAACGTATGCAATACTAAGAAAAGCACCCCCCTGAAACTGACCGACAACAACGGGCAAACTTCGACAGAATCATAACCAAAACAAACTGACAGAAACAACACAAAATCACATTGTTCTACTCAAGTGATCCTGTTTTGGTAAAATTCTTACTGCGGTCGCCCAACCAAAACTGCTTTACGTCGTCGTAAGCCAAATATTCATTTCGGTTATGGTTGGTTTGATTTCTAGGAAAGCCTATTAAACGTACTCCAAGATCAAATTCTCCCCAAGATTTTAATTGTCCTTCCTTAACCACGTTCACACATGTTTACTTGTAAGGAGGATGTCCAAAAAACTTTTTGAGAGCTTCAGTTGTGGTGTTACTAATGAAATTTCAATATGCGTGCACAAGCGTTGCACGTCAGACTGAAATGGTCTGTTGTCTTCTTCTTTGTTCAAATCTAAATCGCTTTGCAAAGGAAACATACCAGTTCCACTCCAAAGTATGAGAGAGATTAACTACTTAGAATATTACAATGTGTACTTTGAGGAGCCAGATTAGACTACAACTTCAAAACAAAACAAAACAAAAATAATAATAAAAAGATAAACAAGAAAAAAACAAAACAAAACTAAAACGAAGGAAGAAGGAAAAAAAACCGTTTATCTGTGGTAGAAGAGCATTAGTGAACGTTAGTCCGGGATAAGCCTGACAGCAACCAGCCGGTCTGGTCATGCTGTGCCTCTTTTTAAAGAGGTTTTCCGAAAGATTTCTTGCCTCCCAAATAACAGGAAAGGAAACCTTAACCCTTTTAATTAGGCTGTCTTGTAGCGACTACCACTGCACTTTAAGGTGCGTGGGCATTCCAGTTTGAGATTTGTTTTTTTGGTAACCACAGGTGGGTTGATGGAAAACACTGCTGAACAAAATATGCACAAAGTACGTGTAAGCATCAACTACCAAGCTCTGAATAGTTTGTTGTTCACTGCACGAGCCAACATTGTCTGATCGAGTGTTCTTAGCACCAGAGGGGATCTCATAGTGACAGCTCTCTAAAAGGAAAGCTTTGTTAAGGGTTTGCGCTTATCAACTTAGAGGGCAACAAAAGTGATGCCGACGAGTGTCGAACAAAGATGACAATGTAATGATAGATGAGTTTGTCATGTATCATGTCATGTTCATGGTAATTAAGAAGGACAGCTTCGTGGCGGCTTTTCGCATGAGCTAAAATGATGACTGCTCTCGCAAAGGCAGTCCAAACTCAGGACACCATCAAATAACAGTACCGATATTAAGGGCCCTTCTTTCTGACCGGCCACAGCGATCAATTAACACACAGAATTGCGTTTTCAACAGGATTTCTTAGCTAGAAATTTCAAATCCTAGCTTTCAACCTTTGTTTTGTTTGTTTCTAGTTTTATTTTTTTTTCCTTTAATAATAACAAAGAAAAGAAAAATTGCGAAACCTCATGGATATTTCCTATTCATATTCGACTAAATGGCAAACGCACAAAATTACATGATTTTTTTAGAGGCCAAACTTTCCTCTCCAGAGAAACTAGTAGAACATGGAACGAAAAAGAATGAGTTTATAGTAGAAAACTGACCAAGAGAAGTTACGGCAAGTCAGTTCTTGACATTCGCTCAACGAGAAACGCAATAAAATCAAAGTGAATACGCGCGGCTTATCCGCGCGAACTTAATGTAGGTTGCATAGTACAAACAGCAAAATGGAGAATTTTGATCGGATATCGTAAATCACGAGCACGGCACACGAGAAGGTTTATGATGGAAGAAGCCAAAAGGATAAGCTGATTGGACAATGCAAATCACGTGCATAGCACCAAGGAAATATCAAGTGCCACCGCGCAAATACGTCAGAACTAACGTGCGAGACTCTTTGCTGCTGTGGTCGCCAGACGTAAACACTGTATTTCAACTTGAGCCACTCATCCTAAGTCAGAGGAAAGCTTCTTACCACTGATACGGATTAATAATTTTTTTCTTTCCTTTTATTTTTTTAACGTTTCGATTTTCAGTCTCCTTGAGTCAAAAGCCCTAAGTGCTCTTAGCTTCCTTGTTGTAGAAAAGACAGTGTGATTAAGATATGAAGTCTAGAAACTATGGTGCCGGCTGTAAATGTAAAGTTTAAACTCAATTAAAACGGCTCCGGCAGGGTAGAGAAACGAGAGGGTCGCTCTGTAACAAGAGTATTCGTTTCGGTTACTCGCACTTCGGTATACAGGCCAACATTGTTTTCTCCAAAAGTTTTGAAGACTTAGACGAGGCTTATCGTCATCCGATATTGTAAGCGCTCAAAGAGAACAAAGTCTTACAAGAATTTTAACGTCTGCGCTTAAGAAACTACAGATGCGACATCGATGATAGTTTTGTTTTTCAAAAATGTATTTTGTTGCCAAACAAACATGAATCGGCTTTTGTAAACAAGTCGAACTATCAAGTGAGCCTATCGCTGATAAGATTTTTAAGTAAAATTTCCGACTTTTAATAGCGAAGAATAAATTGAGGAGGTTCGTCGCAGCAGTTTCATGTTCACATTTTCCGAAAATGTCGGAAAATGTTCGTTATTAAACAGACTAATAAAACTCATATGAGATTCCCAATATCCAAATTGTGCTCTTGCTTCTTCGTTCTTGGTGATTTTAGAGGCATTTTGTAAAGCTTAACTCCGGTTTTTAAAGGTCCGGTAATACGGGCAGCATTTTTCTTCAACTTGTCTTCCAACATTGTTGCATTGCAAGTTGAAACCCTTTGTTGCGCGTATTACCACGTTCGTGACCAACTTGTCTCGCAACAAAATGTAGTGTTGCAAGTTGAGGCAACGTGTTGCGCAAAGTAGACTCGAGTTCTACTTTCTGCAACAAATTTTCAACTAAGGGTTTCGACTTGCAATGCAACAATGTTGTAAGACAAGTTGAAGAAAAATGTTGCCCGTATTACCGGACCTTAAAACGTCGCATGCATACAAAAAACAAAAGAAAGACATCGACTAAAGTAATTTCAAAACCATGGCAAAATTCATCATCCCAGGTTAAGATGATTTCAAAAGGCTCAAAAACGATGGCCTCTTTCGAGGCATCAGAAAAATGACGAACTCAGTGACCCTTGGACCGGACGTATCACTAAAAGTCATTATCACAACGTTATTTCAACAGCCAATCAAAGCAAAATAAAAGGAACCAATCAGGGTCGGGTTCTTCAAAGATGGGATTAGATAACCCAGGGTTAGCGTGAAATTTGATTTTAGATCTGAAAGCTTTAAAAGGAAATTAAGTTTAATTATTTTTGTCTAAAATTTAATGATTGGATGCTCGAAAGAGAACAAGGGAAAATTATCCCAAAAAGGCTCTTGAATCCAGAAAAAAGGAAACCTGGATTAAAATTTAACCCCGGGTTAGTGCTAATCGGCCTTCGAACGACTGGGCCTAGAACTCAACGTAAAAACAAGCATATAATTTGAATATATCAACAAAGTTGAAATGGTAAATTGGCCACCGTTACGGTTATAAAAGCTGACGTTTCGAGCGTTAGCCCTTCGTCGGAGCGAAAGCGATTCGCTCCGACGAAGGGCTAACGTTCGAAACGTCAGCTTTTATAACCGTAACGGTGGCCAATTTTCCATTTCAACTTTGTTGATATATTCAAATTATTTCGTTACCCCCACCGACGCAGCGCCAAACAGTTTCTTTAGAAACTATCAGCCTTTGTTCATTTGTAAAAACAAGCAAATTGCCTAAAGGGCAGGGAAAAGGGAGTGACCATGTAGCGATTGCTTTTAGTTTTGAATTTGATTGGTCAAGAAAGTGGCGCGAGTTTTCTGGACCAATCAAACAGCGAGGTGAAGCAAAACCAAGGCAATGGCTCTAGACTACGAAAAACGACAATGAATGACCAAAAAAAAAAAAACACATGAAAAAAACAAGGAAAAAGAACCACATTCATCACAGTAACTCTAAATCAAAGGATACTTAAAAATTCGTCGCAGTTGATCGTCGACGTCGTTTCCAGGGAAAAGCGGTCTTCCCCCGTTTGCCATTTCTGTGGATGAAAGAGAATACAGCTTGAGACAAATTCACTGTGTGGACTTGCAACGCTCTCAATTACTGATAAGCGATCATTCAGGTACAAACAAGAGATGATAAAGACTAGAGACTTCATAGACACTCGATTTAGCACTGTTGAACCAAAACCAAAGCCAATCAAAGCGAGGAAAAATACCCTAAAGAGCCAGTGAGAACTCAACGTAAAAACAAGCAAACTGCCTCAAGGCGGGAAAACGCGGGCGACCCAATTGCGATTGGTTTAAGTCTTGAGTCTGATTGGTTGACAGAGGGGCACGAGTTTTCTAGACCAATCATATCAGCGAAGTCAAGTAAACCATTGCAGTTCTGGGTTACTTTCGACACGCATTGAAAATTGCTTGCTCCAGGCCATATTCTTGTAGAATTTCCCTAAAGCTGTTTTGGATAACTTCTGTTTAAGTAGATCTCAGGAGAAGCTAGTAATAACCAACAGTGTAACGCGAATGTTATGCACATTGACACCGCACGGGATTTTTATTTGTTCTCTATCAAGATTTTAGACAAACATAATGTGAGGATGCGAGCTATACGTAACATCATTAACGGGAGACCGCATACCTTGAGTCTAAAAATAACTTACTGATGTGAAATGACTAATCATTTTTTGTTTGGAATAAGAAAGTTCGAGTCTCTTAGCTTCATGGTCTTCTTGGCATGTCCTGATTGACGTTTTCCGTTAGTTTAAAATTTTCTTAAACTCGTTCGATTTTGATTTTTCATTTTTTCAGAAGCTAGAACTAGAAAGAAACAAACCATAAATGTGTCAAAGTTTCCAAGGGATTAACTAATATATGTTTTGGACACTTTGATTAAATTAAATGTTGTTAATGTAAAACATTCATACATTTTGACAGCACATGTACAAGGTAGTTAAGTATCACAACTCAAATCTCACCTGCAAAAATACAGCCAGCAGACCACATGTCGATGGATGTGGAGTATAGCTTTGCTCCCATGAGGACATCTGGAGGACGATACCATAATGTCACCACCTGACCACACAGAAAAACACAGACAATGCATGAGTTGATTAATAATTATCAGTAGTATTGAAATGAAAAAAAAAAAATTACCTCCGCTGAGTAACATCTGACAGGAATGCCAAAAGCTCTTGCAAGTCCAAAGTCAGCAAGCTTGAGTTCACCATCCTACGGTAATATAAAAGTGACATGAACAATATCAACCTCAAAGACATCCTTGGCAGCCAGACAGACACATCTTTCACACTTGGTGTCACATGAATTGTAACCATCATGTAATGAAGGCTTGGAAGGCACTTCATATCAGCTTCACTAGCTTAACCATTAATTTTCACCAAGATCTCATTCAGTTGGTAATTCCCCTCACCATCTGCTATGCAATTTTCTTGTTGTGGTAGTTTGAGAATTTGGTATTGCATCTACTAAGAGTCCGATCCCCTATATGATATTTTTATTTATTCTCATTACTTTTCTGTATGATATCATATTGAGATTGTAAGGAAATATTCTGTCTTGATCACTTAAACAAGTCAAAAGCCTTAATGACGATATTTTTGATAGGGATGATGATGATGATGATGTTGATGGCATAAAATGTGCTGGTTTCTGTCAGCAGGTGTTGGTTCCATGCAAATCAACAGTCTTCCCATTATGGCTGGAACATCAGGGTTTTAACTCATGTTTGTTTTCATTTACACAATGAGCCTATTTTTCTCTTTTTCTCTCAAAGAGGCACAATATGTTTTGAAAAAGTTTGCCTAAACTGATCTCAATTTTTTTCATTCAAAATTGTTCAGCAACCTAGTCATTGCCATTCCTTTCCCAGCCACCTTGTCCTCTTTGCATTCCTCTGTCCCAATGAACCCATATTCCTCTGAGCTGAGGACAAATTGCCAATTGAAAAAATAAAAAATGTTGCAAATATCACAAGAAGCTCTTTTTACCTTAGCTTAGCTGGTTTCAATAACAGAGTGATTTGGAAAGGAGAGAAAATTATATTTTTACATTGCTATGTTGGGTCATACCTTATTAATGAGAAGGTTTTGAGGCTTCAGATCCCTGTGGAGTACATTGCAACTGTGACAGAAGGCCAGGCCCTTAAGAAGTTGATACATGAAAGACTAGGAAAGAATAATCATGATAAAAAAAAAAAAAAAAATCAGTGAAATTGTTTCTACTCACTACTTTATCCAAGGTCCTTTATACCTTTGATGCATGGCACTGCTGTTTAAATTTCTGACTTTTTTTGTCTCATTTTTAGCAAGTTTTCAAGAAATAATATTCTAAGCATGAACTGTTTCCTTTTGCATGGTATTTACAAACAAGTTCTTGATGATTATGCTTGGTTGGAGTTGCATTGCTGCTTTGAATAATTGTCTTGGTCGTTTCTCAAACATGAGGTAAAAAAAGTCAATTGAATTAAACTGAATTAAATAAAAAATGGATGAAATTTGACAAACTGTGGTTATATGTACATGAAAATCATTAGCTAACTACTGAATGAAGTTACATGAGCATATATATGAATCGTGGAATTGACAAAGGGTATCTTTACTTAGCTCTTTCTGGTAAAACTGTGTCAGTGTACATGTTTACTAGCCCTAAGTGTACTTGGAAAAGTACTCAAAATACTTTGATGATGAAAAAACAACTTCAAACTTTTGAATTCCATCTTTTATTCTCAGATGAAGGAAAATTAATTGAATAAAATTATTTTGACATGCACCTTGACAACAGCTGCGTCAACATCTCCCTGACAGCTGTCAAAGTACTTTTTGAGATCCTGAAAGAAATATAATTGTAATTTCAGTATTTACATTTTGACAGTACAATCTTCATTACAGAGGTAAAGGAACTACATAAAAGGAAACAAGGAAATTAATATACTACAGAGTCAAAGCCAGTTGGGAGTAAAACCTTAAATTGATAACAAGAGCTTTTATTATCAAAAATAGCAGTCCACGGTTTTCTTAAAAAAGGTACTTGAAGCAGTAAACATGACTTGACTTTTGGTTTGGCGTTATAGTTATTTAGCCTAAAGATATAAAAGACAGCAAGGTCTAATACTAATAAACAAACTGTACTCAAGAGGCAAATGCCTGATGTCAAGGAGGGGATTTGCACCACCTTATGAAGATCCCAAGACAGTCCAAAATACACAAAGTCAAGAACATTTGTGTATACTTTAAGAAATATTGATAAATTCATCTTTACCTGATCGCAGTACTCAAATACCAGTGTCAGCCTTCTTTCACTATGCATTACATCATGTAACCTAACAAGTATAAAGTAAAATGTTTCAAGTTATTTATACTAAGCAATCGCAAAAACTAGAGAAAACTATCAAAAAAATATATTTGTCTTGTTTTGTTAAGCATTTTTCATCTCAGTGGTTCCCACTAGAGACCAAAGAAGATTCCTCTTTACAATTTCATGATACCTTTTCAAGCAGAAAAGGTGATGATAAGAAAATAGAACCTTGGACTAAAAATTATAATAAATATAATTATGGCAAACATGACAAACATTGAATTTGAGATCTTTGGACTGAAAAGATTAATTTTTCAATTATCACCATGTTGTAGTTCAATTTTATCCTTGGTTCAAATTTTATTTTTCTTTGTTTCAAACTCATTATCATACATTAACATGACCGAGAACAAAGGAAAATAAAATTTGAACCAAGTATAAAATTGAACTACAACATATACAATTGCTGGGGAGTGAATCCTTGCAGGGTCTTGGGTGTCACACTTATTTTTTTACAATGAGATCACATGTACCTGATTTTGCTCTTGTTATCGATACAATATCCAAATTTACATTTTATCCATGAGATTTAACAGGGAGATTCACTCTGAACCTCTGAGTCTCCCACATAATTCACAAAATTGTTATACATGTACATGAGTAGGACTTGGTCTCATAAAAATCACATACCAGATGGTATGGATTCAACAGTACTACAGGATAAACAGCCAATAAGAAAGAGGTCTCCAAATTTTTTTAATTAGCTGTTTACCATGTATCATCAATATCAGCAAATATACAGTCTTACAATAAATTTACTTACCTTACAATGTTCTTATGCTTCAGTTCCTTCAAAATGCAAATTTCTCTCAAAGCTGAACTGGGGATACCCTTGAATAGATGGTCGCAGAAAACAAAATTATTCCAACAAATAAAGGTTACAACCAATTCTTGGACTTTGTTTCTAACAAAATGGACTCTTGGAGCCATATGCTTCTTCTGTAAATCATACAGTATTTAAGTTTTGCAGTAAAAGTCTTGGAAAAAGGCTGTAATAAGATACTCAGAAGAAAAAAAAAATTGTGAAAAACCGTCCTTGGATTTTTATAAGTGAAACAAATGTTAGTGTCATGTACTGTATGCGGAACTGATATTAGCTCACGGCAAATGTTTATTTTCACATTCCATTAGAAGGCATTTATTCTTCGCTGGTGAGGCCATTAGTCAAAAAATCAAATTATCACGATTTCAAAGAATATAAGATTTCATTGGAATAAACTTTTAGACAGCAGTAAAGTGTATAAAATATTGCAATTAGTAACGTATTTAGTATGATTATTCCGAACACTTATTTCAGGAAATTTCTTTCGGTTTTCCCTTTAGAATACGATTTCCTGCCTTACAAGAAGCATAAGCATTTCTTGTTATGTTCATCTACCTAATAAATAATAAAATGGACACATTGGATTTCCCTGCGTGATCACTGTTGGAGTGAGGAAGGCAAAAATACAACTTAAAACATTTTAAATAATTCACCTCGTCGTCTTCGTCGAGCCTTACTCGTTTCAGCGCCACTATCTCGTGCGTTTCTTTGTGTTTTGCTTTGAAAACGGTTCCATAAGTACCTGCAAAACGTTATGAGAATGAAATGAATACATTCCCGCGCAATGAGATCGCAAAAAAAAAATTGCAAAACGGCACTTTACAAATGAATTCATGCGCAAAAACTAGTAAATGTCGAGGGCCTACCTTCACCGATCTTTTCCAGTTTTTCATATTTCTGCATAATACGATGTCAGCCTTTTAACTATCAACATTCAGAGATTCGCTTTGGCTTTTTCTGGCGGAATTAGCTAAGCGGATTTGAGTGAACTCACCGACCCTTTCTGGCGGTGACAACAAATCATCCTTTTGATCATCCAGGCCTTTGTTGTTTTTTGTTGGAGATCTGAGACTAATGGGAAACCCCGCACTATAAAATAACGCGGTCTCAGCTGACGCCAAACAACAATCTGAAAATTTCCTCGGGGGACGGGTTCTGGACTGTAGTGTCTGGGCTATTTCGGACGAAAGCTTACTGAAATTTTTCCAATTTTTGAAGTTTTAGCCTCTCGAATGTGTAAAAACTATGGAACCGACGTCGACGTACGTGCTGAGCCTTAGTAATTGAAGTTAAAAGGGAATCTTCTCACTTTTCATGGTTGTCTAGGTACCGACACACGACCAAGGTACGTAAAAATTGAAGTTTATTTCTGAACAAAGTGTGGCCGATGATTTAGTTTTGTCGTTGTCAGGAACTTTTCAGAGTGTGAAAATTAAAACTTTACCCGATCATGTTTTAAATATGATAAGAATGAAATGATTAATACAGCAATAATGAATGAAGATCAGTTTCGCCCTTGAGTACGTAGACATGTGTAAGTATTTGCCTCAAAAGCTCTCTGAGGCATAAAGTTAGAAAATCACGTTCATTTCATGGCGTGGGAAAATTCAAAAGCCGGTTTCATTTTCATATATCGCCCTTTTAACAATTAAGCGTACGCAAAATGCCTTGAGGTCTACGTGTAGTTGATAAATTACCCTGTAACGGGGGAAAAATATTCAATATTTGGAGTGTTTTTAAGAGAACTTTCACATTTCTAATCCTCCGAGCGTGTATTCTCCAAACAAGCTTTGAATAAAACTAAAACATTTGAGCAAATGACGTTATGACAACTTACCAAATATGAAAAAAAAAAAACTTAGATAAAGAATATCGCAAAGAGTTTATCCTAGTCATGGTTTTTTAAACGTGAAATGGGGTACATAAATTATAGCAACAGTGCGAGCATGTCTAAGCGTCTTTGTACTTTGCCACCGGCTTTTAAATACTAAGTGCAATGCTGTAAGTGATACAGTCGTTTTATTTACCGTGAAAGCCGTGTCAGACTCTAGTTTTAACTTCAATCATTTAATTGATCATTTAAAAAACCACGGGGAACTTTTTTATGGGCACCTCGTTTTCTTCTGTTGGATTGTTTTCTAATCAATACAGACGATTTTGTTAAACTGAATTTAACGGATTGAAATTCACTCTGTTATTCTTCATGGTTCGATTGTTCGGCTGTCATTTAATGTTAATTCCCTCCCTTTTCTATGCATAGCCTATTGATTTGCTAATTCTTTCTTTCTGGAAAATTTCATAGTGGATGTTACATTTAATCATAATAAATCCTTTCATCAAAGAGGTTATCTAAGGACTGTTTGTTTATTTCTATGAAGTTTTGCAATTTTTTTTGTCAAAACGTCATGGTTATACATCTTATTTAAGTAATTATAAGCATTAACTCATCTGTCTCCAACGAGAATCAGTTAATTCCAGAACAGCGTGGAGGTTATTCAATGTCCTGCTGATGAAAATTCTTTCCATCTTTTTTTTTACCATTTTTTTTTTTTTACCAGTCCTTATGACATCCTTTCTATAATGAACAGAATTTAAGTCTGTTGTGAAGTCACATGCGATTTGACGTGTTTGCTTCAAGTTCTGGTAATGTTTCTTTAATTACATTTAATTTAGTTATAACCAAACTAACCTTACTATAGTTAAATAAATGGAATGTTAGTATAATTATTGAGAAGTCATGTGTGTTTTGACATGTTTGCTTTATACTCTGCCAATGTTTCTTTAAATACAGTAGAAATAACCCAACTAAACCTTTCTATAATAAACAGAATGTTAGTCTGTTGAGAAGTTACATATGTGTTTTGTCATGTTTGTTTCATGTTCGGCCAATGTTTCTGAAATACAGTAATTATAAGCTAACTGAACCTAAATAACAGACACATGGCCCTTGATTTTCTTTATCATAATGATGTTCTTTCTGGTCCTGAGAGGCAATGATCTTTGTACTACAGGTCTCATGTATTTGAAGGTTCATAAACTCAATCTACAAGATAAATTGCCATCCAGTGGATAGCTAATTTGATGCCTGTGTAACATTCATTTCTTGAATAATTACCTGAAATTGTCTTGTACATAGTGTACTCCAACTCAGGGACTACTATACAGCTGTACATTGTAGTTTGCCCTAAGGAGCATCCTCATCTCTTATCGTATCTATTTTTAGACACTCAGCATAGTTTGTTCCTGAAGAGTTAACCTTAACCTTTGTATTGTGTCTAAAAATAAATTATTATGATAATCTCTTCTTCATTGTTTACAGCTTGATCACACACATGTGTAAATGTTTTTTGTTACTAAATGTTTTTTGTTTGAAATGGAATTCAGGTTATATGATTTCAAACCAGTTTTATTTGTATCTTTCTTTATAATAAGAACTGTGATCCATTATGCGAGCACTGTGAAAGTGAGATTGCTGCGATCTCCTTTGCCACTTTACAGCACCTACCTGCCAACACTATACACTACACATTTTGAACTAGTTTTTGGCCTCGATTACTTTAACATTACTGTTTCATTAAAGTGCACCTAAACCCAAAAATTTTTTTTCGCTTAACGAAATAAGCTTATTTTTTGGAGTATTTCTGTGCAAAAATTTTTTAATTTGCTTAAATCTTAAATTTTCTGTGCCTAGTCAAAATACGGAAAATCGGCCGCCATCTTGCCCCACGACCGAGTTTAAAGAGGAATGGCTCTAGCGGATAATGTGACGTCAAATCGAGAACACGAAAGTCTGCTTTTCACACATTTTCACTTGTTTGGGAAGGTTGTGGTCGATATTGTCCGAAATATGCCGACCAGGTGTATTGTATGAGGAATGTATGAAGCGTGATACCCTCTTGCAAATTTCGCACGTTGCTACGTTTAGGTGCACTTTAATGGCTACGGGAGGTTCGAATTCACTTGGAGATGCGTTACACTAGAATCATTGATTTCTAAGCTAACTTCAGTATCTCAGTGTTGTTTCTTATTCATTCAGCAATTCTTAATTAAGTAACATTTCCACTAAGGGACTAAATGATCCCTATTGTAGACACCTTGTCTCACTTTTTTTTTTTTTTTGCAGTAAAAAATCAAACCAACGCATTGAGGTTCTTCCTGCTTAGACTTTGAAAAAAATTATAGCCTATTCCAGGCGTTCAGTTATTAAGAAGAAGCACGATAATAAAACGGGGCCAGATAACAAAACGTAGCGCGATAGAAAAACAGAGCGTAACATCTAATAAAACGGAGCGCGATCATAATAAAACGTAGCGCCATGGTAAAACGTAGCACTATAGCAAAACGTAGGGGGGCGGAGGAGTGAAAAGACGTGGGAAGTTTTCGACGAGTCGCGTCGGCAGGGAGAAATGCCAACGATAATTAAGTATTCGCAGCTGCCCTAAGATTCAAATTTCATAAGATCATTTGATTTAGGTTAGAATTTTCATTTTACTTGGAACGTGAGCATTTGCTAAACAATTTGTAGAATATGAAAAGTGCATGTCTAAAAGGTTCTCTGGATCTGAAAATGAGAGTCATGAGAAATGCCGTCAGTTTTCTTTCATCCAAATACGCCATGTTCGCTATTTGAATGAAAGAAATTTCCATCGCCTTACTTTCAGATATAGTNATTCCTCTTTAAACTCGGCCGTGGGGCAAGATGGTGGCCGATTTTCCGTATTTTGACTGGGCACAGACAATTGAGGATTTGAGCAAATAAAAAAATGTTTGCACAGAAATACTTCAAAAAATACGCTTGCTTCGTTAAGTGAAAAAAAATTTTTGGGTTTAGGTGCACTTTAAAGAAGGTTGCCCTGTAATCTTACTTTTATTCAGGAAGAGGGTAACACTCAACTCTGGATAGATTATGATCTTAAAGAGTAACATGTCCCACCATGTGTTCAAGTTGATCCTTCAGTTTGGCAGTATGACTACCTTTTGAACAAAGCAGTGTAGTTTTTTTGAGTGTTTACCTTTGAACTCCCAAGATTTGATCATTAATTCTCCCCTTTTAGTTACCACACACTTCCTTGTATATTAGTGATGAGAAGTTAATGTTAGATCAAGATAACAACTTTACCTTAGTTTGAGTATTCTCATGACCTGTTTGATGGTGTTAAGGGAAGAAGTTACTTAACAGTTTGATTGATCGCTTCTGGGGGTACAGGGTTAAAATACAGTACAGGGCCGGGTTGTTCAAAGCTGGGTTAAGATAACCCAGGGTTAGCGTGAAATTTGATCTCAGATCTGAAAGCTCTGAAAGAAAATTTAGTTCAATTCCATTTGTCTACAATTTGATGATTGAATGTCCTAGTAAGAATTACGAAAATTATCCCAAAACGCCTTTTGATCAGAGAAATTTAGAAACGTGGATTAAAATTTAACCCTGGGTTAGTGCTAATCGGCCTTTGAACAACTGGACCCAGGGGTTTCATTTAGGGCCGGGCAATGGGCAAATTGACCTGGTCTGAGGACAGTTTTGCCCACCTGGTTTGACAATCTGGAGGAAAGTTTAATATCTAATAATAAAAGAAGTTCAATTTAAAAAGTTTTGCCCACCTGTAAAAACCAGTTGCCCTCCTGCTGAAAACATCAGTGAAACCCCTGACAGTAAGATGTAAAAAATATTAAATACAATGAGTGAAATTTGGATTAGGACAGTGAGACAGGTTAAATTGATTGGGGGTTTGTTTTTTGTTTGTTTTTTTCTTCTTTTTTTTCCCCTTGTGAACTGATAAATCAGGTTGATCTGAGGATAGTTTATTTCTTAATTATGTCAGTTGAAGTTACAAGTCTTTCATACAAATTACTACTGGCTTTAAAAACCTGTTCAGTTCATCTCATTTTGTGTGCTCCAGGAGTCACAATAACTAATTGATGAACAGCACAAACTTGGTTTAGTTCGTCTGATGTGCATGGGTCTGTATATGTACTTGTGATGCTATATGTTCATTTTTTAATTCATCTAGCCTTAATTTATATGTAGATTTATGATCATAATGCTGGTTCTTGAAACCTGTTTACTTCATGGAAATATATGTTCTTCCGGATTAAATGCTCTTCATAAGCTATTAATAGACAGCACAAATTTAGTTTAACTTGTCTGATGTGAAGTTGCAATTAAGGGCTATTGATTTAACAAAGCAGCTAAACTTCAATTAAAAATTTATGCTTTCTAGGAAATCAGTGTACTAGGTTTTCAGCTTTAACTAAACTTGTTTTAAAAGTACACAGCTAAGACCTCTAGAGCTGCATTTTGTCAGATCTAGAATTGTCCCATTTAAATATTAACAGGTGGTTGTTTTCTGTATTCTTTCTTAAATTTTAGTTTGTGTACCCAACAAGCACTTTGAAAATCATGCAATTTTAATTGAGATATTTTAAATTTTAATCTGATTCACTCTGCAGAAGTCCTTCGTTAGATCACTCAGTCCAGTTTCACCATTCAAAGTAAATTTTACTTTAAATGACTTTATAGTTTTATTAATAGTAGTTATAATACATATCTTTTCATGCTTCAAGTAGATAATAAATTTTAGCTGGTCTTACCCAGCTATTTGCCTAACTTTATCATACAATTCCAACATTATATGAGGCAATACTAGTCTTGTTATCACTGTTTGCCTGGTTATTGTTTGGAATCGACACAAGTCATTCATCAGAAGTAAGGTTCTGTAAATCAACAATTTATTGTTTTTTTTATCATCTTATACAGAGCTATATAGGTGAATGTAAATGCTTCACAGATGAATTTCAGCCCAAGGAGAGGAAGCTGTTATTAAGATATTTTGTTCAACAGGAGTATAGTGTCAGGTAAATTTGAACTCCAGCATACTGAGTTTTCCACTGTACAAGCGAATGTATTAAATGCAATCTTCTATTTATTATGAATATTATTGTGAATTTCTTGCCTATCATTTTTATCCTCTCTGATGAACAGCTACACTGTAGTGCTTGGGTTACTCTAGAATCAGTTTACAGTGGCCAATGTACTTTAACAACTCTGTTGATAAAACCAAATTATCTTGTAATACTCTACTTTGACATACAGGTGTTAGGCACCACAGTTTCTTTACTAGATTAAGAAACTTACCTCCTTTATCATTTTACACATTTAATTTAAAAGTTAGTCAGCTTGTGAGCCATGAGGACCATACTGAATCTTGCTATTTTCCTCCATTGCTGGGGTGCTAGCCTATCCTAAGGACAATTGCCCCCAAAACCCACAGCTCTTTCTTTTATTTCCAGTGTGCTGGTACCTTTTACTCTGCATGTTTACCTCTTTGTCCTTTTTGCCATCACTTTTTAACTAAAATTGATGGAATTTCTCCCTCCAATCTTATTTTCTAGCAGTAAAGTGATGAGAAGAAACAAAAATATCACCATATTTTTAGAGCTAAAATTATTTGGTGTGGAGACTTAGCAAAATTGAAAGAATATCTAAAGGAAAACAAAATCTGCAAGTTAGAGAAGAAGTAGCAAGTTCTATTTATTTTTGTGTCTGTTCAGGAGCCATGAGTGAATCAGGAGGCCAGGCAGCAGTGGGTGGGCGGAGTATGTTGGACAACATGGTCGGAGTTGGTGACATGGTGCTTCTTGAGCCCTTGACAGAAGATTCACTGATAGAGAACCTTTGGGACAGATACAATAACAAAGATATCTATGTAAGTTTTTATTGATTTCCCTGTGTAGTTCAACGAACAGAGCTACTTGTAAATGAAAAGTCAAAGTACATAAAATATGTTGTTTGGAACTCACACTTTTGTCTGTTATGCATGTTGGATGATACATAGTATTAAAGGCATGAACTGGGAAAAGGATGCATTCTTTGTTGACACCCATTAATATTTTGCAATTCTTTTTTTTTTAAACAAACATGACCATTTCAAAAATAGTACGTACGTGAATGCATCAAATTTTTTCCTCACCTCTTTTGTAATGATCACCAGATGAATTTTATTGTACAATCTACTTTTACAAATATCAGTTGCTACAGTGTTTCAGAGTTAAAATGGATGTATAAGACTGAATGTACATGGACACTGTACTGTTAGGGTTATGGCCAGGGTTGGCTATGCTAGCCTTAATTTTTACAATGACACACCCTATAGAGTTGTGTAGTTTGTATGAACATAATTTACAGGAAGTTGGTGTTTTTCAGTGATTAGTTATACATGTTTGACTTGTACAAAATTAATTTATTAAGTTGAACATTATCTCTTGATAGTGGCTTTTAATGAATTATACATACATTGTACATATGTATAGAAAGTATATTATGTAGTAAGGGAATGGGGATGTCATAGTTTTTATCATTTAACTTGCAGACTTACATTGGAGATGTGGTGGTGTCAATCAATCCTTACCGTAAATTCAACTTGTATACTCCCGAAAGGATCACAGAGTACAGATCTAGAAACATCTATGAGTTGCCTCCTCACATGTGAGTACAGCTCCTTGTTTGAAAACAAAGGATAATGACCTTATTTTGAGTCTTTAGAAGTTGGATATGTGGTGGTATAATTGCCTCCTCTGTCTGTTATTGTACTCTACAAAATGTGGGTTGAAAAGCATTTTTTTTGTTTAGCCCTGGCCAATATCTTTATTTTGTGTTCTTGGGTAAGACACTCCCTTCACAAAGTGTCCCTTTCACCTCTTGGGAGTATATTAAAACAAATGGATGATTATACCAGCAAGATTTTGAGAGAGAGGTAAATTGGGGAAGCCCTTAACCACAGTGAATCAACTTTTCAATCGGTCAGATGCAATACCATAACCAATCATAATGTGTTCACTTGAATTGTTCTGTCCTTCAGGCAGTTTTCTTAGTCATGATGCTTTGAAATCTCAATAGCTCTTTGAATTGGGACACTTTCCATTCTCTGATTTGCCATTGTGACTACTTCAGTTTTGCTTTAAGACCACACTTTATTGAAAACTTATAGATTTAATACTAGGTTTATGAAAGATTCCCTTGTCTATAGAGGTGCAATCTTTTGGAACACTATTAGCTTAAATGAACGTAACATCTTGCACAAAAACCCGATTGAGCTGTTTTGAAATTTGAAAATAAAGCCTTATTTTAGAGATTATAAATTTAATATTGTTTCAGCTTCAGCTTTAGCTGTCTGCCATAACAATGATGACTTTCTCTACTTTTGATTAAGATGTTAGTGTTAGCCTTTTACTTAGTATTTAGCTAGTCTTCTTCTTATTTAAATAATGCGTAACTAAATACACGACCCCTCAAGCTGTTAGCTTTAATTATGATGATCGTGTTTAAATAAAGGTCTTATCTTATCCTTATTCCATTTTATTTAAAACAGTTATGCCATAGCTGATGATGCCTACAGATCCATGAGAGATTACAATCAGGACCAGTGTATTCTGATCACTGGCGAAAGTGGGGCTGGAAAAACAGGCAAGTTTCAAGTTTGATTCTGAATCATTTTGCCTGCTGCATGAGGTTGTTATCAGGGTGTTTCAAATTATTTCTGCCTGTCTGCTGTTGGGAGGATTGAAGTCACCAATAATCCTTCTAATTTGTTTCTTTAGAAGCTTCTAAGATTGTTATGCAGTATGTGGCAGCAGTGTCTGGGAAAGGATGGGAAGTGGACAGAGTTAAAGAACAGTTGTTGCAGTCCAATCCTGTTATGGAAGGTTAATGATATTTCTGCTAAATAATTATATTATTGTTTATTGCCTTTTACCCATTTCATTTGTTTCTCATTTCTGGATCATCCAATTTCTTGTTCATGTGTGAGATGTGTGATTGTTCTGTGTGAGAAATTGGAAATTGGATCAATAAAGGAATAAGTAGATAAATTTTTAAGTTTTCTTAATATTTAAACAATAAAACAAATGAAAAGATGATAGAACAGGGCTCGAAATTAATGGTAACCCATTAACCAATGGTTAGTAATTTTCAACCTTTGGTTACTAAAAAGGTGTCCAACTAACCCGACGTGGTTAGTAAAATTTTCTAGCATAATTATTTAAACATTGGTGGACTTCAGGACAGAGGAATACTTAGAATACGCAAGCTGTTTAATCAACTTAAACTCTTTTTAGAGAATGTGCTGTAGATGTACTGTTCTTGACTAATCACATGACTGTGGTAAACGAGAGGGAAATAAAATAGGACTGGTGCATAATTGTCAACATTTTTAAGGTCACCTCGCAATTTCAGCTACTCTTTAATTTGTCCTAGTTGTTATTATCAAAATGCTCAATATTTGAGATATCGCAACTTGTGAGCTTGGATACCAAACTTGATAATTTGGTTAGTAAAAAAGATGTCAACTAACCCAAAGGATTAGTGATCTAAAAATGAAATTTGAGCCCTGTAGAAAATGAAGAGAAGATTGAAGGAATGCAGGAATGAATTAATGATTGATTGACTGGTGGGTTTAATGAATTAACAATGGAAAATAAATTGGCAAAAGAAAAGGAGTTAATGACTTATTAATAATTAATAATTGACAATTAATTAGTGGTTGATTAATGGAATGAATGAGTGAATCATTGAATGAACAATGAATGAATGGTCGATCAATAGATTTAAGAATGAATGGATGAAATTAATAGTTGAACAAAAGACAGAATAACTAAAGGTGATGGAGAATCATGAAGGCAGAGGTAATAGGCACATTTCATGCCATTGTATAATTTTAGAGATCTTGTTTGGTTGGGTGTTCATGAGTATGTGTCCTGTTACTTTTGCAGCATTTGGCAATGCAAAGACCCTAAAGAATGACAACTCATCTCGATTTGTAAGTGGATTAAATAAGAAATTATTTTACATATAGCTGCTGTAGATCTTACAATTCCTGAATATTAAAAGTTTGTGGATAATTGCAGTAATTATCTTCATGATCCTAGGTTCCATAGAAAGTCCTGAAGTTTTAGTTGTTTATTTTTGAGGACTTGAACAGTCCTTTAACATGCTGGAAGATGAAAAGCTTCAGCTACTTGAGACTGATTAACCTTTTTTTTAATTAGGTAGTTATTGTATATAGGTGTTCTTGAGATTCTTGGAATAAGCCATGAATTGCCCTTTTAAAATATTATTTTAAAATATGGATTTGTATATATTGGAAACTAAGCTGTGAATTGCCCTTTTAAAATATTTCATAGCTTAGTTTCCAAAATATACAAATCTATATTTTCTCAATAATTATTTCATAGAACTTTTGGGTGTTTCTACTGAACAATATCAACTCAAGTTGGTTTCAAACTCTTTGAAGTGAATGATGAGTTTACTTAGTATAATCAATTTATGTTTGATTGTTCAGGGGAAATACATGGATCTTGAATTTGACTTCAAAGGTGATCCAGTTGGAGGAGTCATCACAAAGTGTGAGAGAGATGCTGTTGTATTTAATTTTTGTGATTTGTTTTGGGATTTAATCACACTTTAGAAATATTATGTCAGTTGTTTTCAGCATCCTTTTGGTAAAAAATTTCTAATTACTATTTGAATCTTTTATTTCATTTTCAGATTTGCTGGAAAAGGTAATTATGAATTTTATAGGTCTGGAATAAACCACACTGTCATTTATCTGTTTACATGCACAACATTTTTATCTTAGTTTGCTGATTCCTCGAAGTGTGAAGGACAATTGAGGCACAGATTTAAGCTTATCTATACCTCAGTGGTAGACTCAAGGGGACCTTTATTGGATAAACAAGATCAAAATTTACCAGAATCTTTTTGATCCTTTTATGATAATTTGCCAATAAAATTTTTTAATCAAATTACATTTATTGAATTAACATTAATCATTGATTACATTATACAATATATATTTAGTTACATAAAGTGGGATTTATTAAATGCACTTCAGAAGTATACTTATTTTATTAGCTTCACTCTTAATAATTTCTCTAAGATGTTTATTAATTAGTTTGTGGTTTTGAGCATGACTTGTATTGAGATCATTTCTTTCCATTACTCGTGTAATATTTCCCATTTGTTTTTTAATTTTTATACAAACCTGTAACTGTCTGACTTGAAGCAAACATGTATCCCACCAATGTTTTTTTGTTTGTTTGTTTAGTCTCGTGTGGTACATCAAGCCCAAGGGGAGAGAAATTTCCACATTTTTTACCATCTTCTCTCTGGTGCCTCTGATGAACTTCTTGGTAAATGATTTTACAATAAGTTAAAAAAATTATGATCTACAGTATTCTTAGTTGTAAGGGTTTTTAATCATAGTTTTAAAGGTCTGGGCCGGGTCGTTCAAAGGTGGATTAAGATAACCCAGGGTTAGTGTGGAATTTGATATCAGACCTGAAAGCTTTAAAAGAAAATTCAGTTTAATTCCATGTGTCTACAACTTGATGATTGAATGCTCTAAAAAGAATTAACGAAATTACCCCAAAACGGCTTTTGAACAGAGAAATATAGAAACCTGGATTAAAATTTAATCCTGGGTCAGCGCTAATTGCCCTTCGAACAACTGGGCACAGAAGTCAAAGTGAAATAGAGCAGTTACTCTTCATTTTCTTCTTCAAATCTTTGCCTCTTTCCTCTTCACTGCACGAGTATTAACTTAGAGCTTTGAGATGTTGGTGGAATGTCCTATAATAAATATCAGCCATACCACCTATTCAAAGACAAGGGTTGTGGACAGCATTTTCTTATATATTTAAATATTAGAGAAAGTGTCTTTTTCTGTGCTAGTGTGCAACACACAATAGAAGTGATACTGAAATACTTATTGATAGATAATACAAATTTGATGAACTGTCCCACAGTTTAGCTGCCTCATTTCAACTTCTATGTGAACTCTTGAAACAGGGAAACTTCACCTTAGCCGTGACTGTAACGATTACACTTACCTCAATCACAGTGGATGTATAAAGGTTAATACAATTGATGACAAGAAGGACTTTTTAGTAGTTGAGGTTAGTGTTTCAAGAAAACTTTATATGTAGCATGGTAATTAGTAGAATTTTGTCAAATGATCACAAAAGCACATACTTAATCATTCATGTAGTTCATCTTTGAAAACTTTTTGTTCTCTTTATTTCTTGGTGAAAGTGGACTTGGGGCTAGTACATGATGATTGTATCTACTACCTTGCAAATCTACACTTATAAACTGTCAATGTCCAGATCCCTCTTTCAAATTGTCAGTGCTCTGAAGATACGTTTCACATGATATTCTTTACAACTGTAACATAACTTTCCTTCATTATGATTAGTAATTCCTTTTTTGTTACAACAAGAGAGCAATGGATATTGTTGGGTTCACTCAAGATGAGAAGCTGTCCATTTACACTCTTTTGTCTGCCATTCTGAACCTTGGAAATATTGCATTTGATGAAGCTGTTGATAAAGTTGGTGGACATGACACTGTGACCCCCACAAATCAGAAGTGTAAGTTCTGTAAAGTTTATTTTGAGATTGGCAGATAATGTTCAGAAGTTAACTCGTATACTCCTTACGATGGCGTGATCCAACACTGTTTTCTGACAGTGTGTAGATTTTTTCTTACACACTTACAGTAACTTGAAAATCTTGTTATTGAAGTTGGTTAGATTGTTGACAGATCGAGGTGCTTTGTCAAGCACTATTAACCTCAAAGCAGCTGAAGATCGAGGAACAAAATGACTTCCTACTAATGTTAATAGCAAGAAATTGCTAACTGAAGATGAATTTGATTTCTGGCCATAATTTATATCAGCGTATCATCAGAAATGAGGCAATACTTTGGTTGGCTAGTTATTATCCTTAACCACTTTAACTTAAGTTTTTTGTAAGTCTGAGTGGCATTAATACTCTTACTTGGCCAATTACTCACCTAAGTGTTTGGGAAAGTAGTGGATATTCCCAGTGTTGCTTCATGCTACAATGAATATACATACATACATACATTAATTTTTTTTAATGAACACATCCCATCTGGGGCTTTTTTCACTATTAGTTGTCTCTATTTCTGCTGATTGCTAACTGTAATTACTGATCTTTCATATCATCATCAAATTCTAATTATAACAGATCTAGACTGGGCATGCGAGATGCTTCAGTGTGGAACTCATTTGTTGAAAGATGGTTTGTCAAAGAGAACTGTGGAGGCTGGTAATGAGAGGGTTTCAACGCATCTTACCACTGCACAAGTATGTTTCCATGTGTATAGTGTTTTGTTCTAAATATCAGTCACAGAGCATACCTAATCAGCTTATTCGTGCATGTCAATTGTATTTACATCAAAACTCCTTTTAAGAGGTTACCTAAGGGAAAATGGCTCATACTATAATTATTATGCAAAGTTGGCATGCAGGTATATAGAGGTCACATTCTATGTACATGCATGCATGTATGTCTTTCAGGAATAACCTTCTTTTACCAGTGTTGCACATGCTGAAAGAGTATGCTACATGCTCTATATCTCAAATTTACAATGTGATTCGCTCCTATAGTTGAAGGTGCTACTTATTTTGAAGATTAGCCCACCAGGGATCAAAGTTGTAAGAACTTATTTGTACTAGAGTGAACACGGCTCCTTACATCCATGGTTATGTTGTAGTCAAGTGAAAATTAAATATTCCCACCAATAACGTAGCTCCATTTTCTACCTTTAAAAGCACACACAACCACAATTCCTCTATTTGCTGTGACGAAGGGCTAACGCTTGAAACGTCAGCTTTTGTATTCGTTATGTTGGCCAATTTATTTTTTCAACTTTGTTGATATATGAAAATTAACTAATTTCGAGATGAGTTATTATTTACAATATTCTTAGTTCAAGTGACAAACAGTTTCATAACTTACAATTTGTGTTTCTGAGTAGTTGGATCCCTTGATTCGCTATCTCGATGCTTTATCTTGATGCTTACGTTTACGACTGTTGGTAACCAGCTTCAAATGTTGTTACATCATAAATTGTTCCTTTTAAAATATAATTATGTCACATGACCTATTTTTCCCTTCTCGGGTAGTTGAGGGGAATTCACAATTATGATAATGAATTTGAATTCTTTGCTATGCGCGCCACTGAACATGCAAATCACAATGCTCAAAGACTGCTCTCGTTATGGTCTCTATCATTCTTTTAGGCTTACTATGCTAAGGATGCTCTTTGCAAAGCAATCTATCGAAGGATGTTCACTTGGATGATTCAACGAATTAATGACAGCATAAAGGTAATTGGCTTTCAACACTCCACTTTCACCTTCATCATCAAAAAAGTCTAAATTTTGTCATTGAATCGATTGAGAGACCATTTTGATGTTTTAATTTAGTGCAATGCTGTTTAGTTGATGTTCTGTTTCTCTTTCAAAAAGTTTCTTCTCTTTTTTCATTGTTTTGTTTTGTTTTTTTTTTCAGGTTAAAAAGAGGGGAAAGAGGAAGGTGATTGGTGTATTGGATATTTATGGATTTGAAATATTTAGGGTATGTAAATTACTAATAATTAATGAATGCATTTATTTGAAATGATAGAGCCTGTTAAGTTAAAAGGACTGCAGTGTTCTTGTTTTTATATCAGGCATACTGGTTGATAATGTTCATTGACAACTAATAATCTTCTAGCACAGGATTTGATATGGATACCACAGTCCCTCTAAAAAGCCTCCTCTCTGAGATAAGTCCTCTGACCTATCATGCCAATATTTTGTGATTTCCCATCCTCCTTCTTCAGTCTTCAGTCCAGTTCAGTATTGAATTTCTTTGCATACTAAAATTAGGGGAAACTACATGTAGCTTCTCTTTTGCAGCAAGGCGGAGGGGGGGGGGTGAGGACCTCGAGTCTTGTCATCCTGGCTACCTCAAAGCATTTGTAAATAATTCATTGTATTGCAATGAAGATGGATAGACCTCCAGCTAGTCGTTTGTCCCATGATTCATTTAAGATATTTGTTTTCATGGCCAGCTGCAATAATATTGAAACTACTCAGAATTAAAGAATACTTGGGTGTTTTGAATTCAAGGCTTTTTTGATGTGGTTGCTTTTTTAATGGATTGGAAGTGTGGTACACTTCAGAGTGGCACTGTAGAATAATGGGGAACTTTTATTTTTATAGAATAATGGTTTTGAACAGTTTATCATCAATTACTGCAACGAGAAGCTGCAACAGATCTTTATTGAGCTGACTCTTCAATCTGAACAAGAGGAATATATCAGAGAGGTAGGAAAGTGTGGGTACTATCACACAAGATGCCATTTACTCTCAAAACATTTCACAAGGTTTCAATTCAAAATTTGCATTTGTAAAGTTTTGATTCAGGGCTGTGGTCTAGCAGCACCCTGGCGGACTTGGCGCCTTACTTTTGTTCTTGGGCGACTAGGGAATCTTAGTTTTTTCGTAAAAAGTATATGCTGGGCACCCTGGATTTCACAGTTTCAGAGCACTAATAATAATAATAATAATAATAATAATAATAATAATAATATAATAATAATAATAATAATAATAATAATAGCTTAGTTTACTGAATTTTTATTTTTGTTTTA